CAACTTGCACCTGGCAAGCGTTGTAGACTATGACCTGATGCTACAAGGATCCCATCGAAGAGGCCCGAAACCAGCAGTGGGACGATAATGAAAGAGCCGAATACAAATGGTTTTATAGGTTTATTACGTTTTAACGTTTGGTATAGATTTCTCAGAGTTGAGATATTTTCCAGCAGTAAAAAGTATTCTATATGTTGACCCGGATAGCCAGCTATCATCATCATGCGTTCCCAGACAGACAGACAGACAGACAGACAGACAGATAGGCAAAAATACTAGAAACTATAGATTATACTAGAAACTATAGATTCGGCCTCTGTATCGATAATAATGACTATTTCAATAAGATTTTCCAAAAGATATTTAATGTACAAATTCGACTCAGTTATAATTTTATTATATGTACCTATAGATTTACAGACGTTATGGGCTAATTAATAATTAAATTAATGTTAATGAATAGCCTTAACATGAAGATAAGAGTTCTTATACTTTGTTAATTTGCATTAATAACAGTGAAAATACATATTTAAAAAGTATACCTAAGTCGTTTCAAGGACCACATAAGCTCTAAAGCTCTTGAAACGTTCATTTAACGACGGGCTCGCAAGTTCAGTCAGCCACTGCCAGTATTTTTCACTTGGTTTCATTGTGAAAAACTTTTCAGTCCGATATTGTATGCTAAAACCTATTAATTTTTGAAAGCATCGAGTTTGAAGACAGTATTCTTACTATTTTGGTTTTTCATTAAATTAATTACACTACAAACTCTCGAGAGCCACTAGAAATACATACCTACATGTTAACACATTCATTATTTTTTTATGAAAACTGTGTGTGTTTCGTGGTTAATTTGTACGGCTGCATAAAATGGTCCTGGATTCGAGTTTCGATTAGGGTATTAGGGTTATTGGGGTTTTCTGTTATAAAATTCTTAGCAGCAGCTTAGCTTTTCTTTCACTAGATCGCCTTAATGTTTCCTCCGACCATGAACACAAGTTCACCTTGTCGTTGTGAGGAGGCTCATTAGCGTCCGGCAAGCCCAGCCGGGCGCGAAGTCAAGAGACACACAGGGAGGTGGCCCACTTCGCTGCGCGTTGTACCATGCGGGTTGTTGCTGGTACTTCCCTGACAGCAGAGTTGACCGTGGGAGTAACATCTTTGGTTGTATGGTCTGTCTGCTACGGCAGACCTTCCGTCGCGTCGGAGCGTTGTAGTTTAGTGCGTAAGCGATTCTGCGACACTCCATTAAGACGGGGGAGGTTCTGTTGGGTTTTAGTGGCTTAGTGAGTCCCACATAACCACTTGTATATAATGTATACAGGTGGTAGACCTAAATACATTTCTCAACATTAAAAAAAGGCAGTAGTACCCCAGGAGTAACGAAATCCGTGAAGCGGGCTTAAATCCCGGTCTCGCACCTCTGATATTCTCTTGTGTGAATAATTTGCTTGTTTGTGTTGTTGGTTTGTGTGTTTAACATGATTACAACTTGTTTTGCGGTAGAAGAAAGCATCGTGAGGAAACTTGCACGTCTGAGAGGAACTAGCAAGTTTTCGAAAGACATGCTCAGTCCGCTAACCCGTATTCGGCCAACGTGGTGGATGATGGCCTGATCCCCCTTGAATTGAAGGGATGCCCGTGCCCAGCAGTGGGGCGATAAAAAGGGCTGCATAAATACATACGTAGTTCAATTAAAAAAATAAATTCATGAACGTTTTGTAATATATATGATAAACAATTTGATAATGTCAGTATATTGATTCAGTACAGTACGGTCGGATGTGTGTCGTGTTTGGTTACGTTGATAGTAGCTATCTGCTTGCAAAACTATTTTGTTTTTCAAATACTTAAGCTATCTTTATTAATATTATAGATGTGAAAATGTGTTTGTCTGTTTGTTTCTACGTACGTAACTTACGTAGAAACTGATAGACGTGTTTTTTACATAAAGATATCTAGGAGTGAGCGTTATAGGTTTTTTATTTATTTTTTTGTGTTTGGTATAATTTCATGTATTGAAAAGTTAGTAGCGAGGGCGCATCAATAATTTCGTGTACGAGTAAGTTTTATTTATTATTATTTTTAATTTTATACATTGATAGACATACAGTATTCTTTTACGTGAATGTATTGTAGCTCTATTTCAACTCTCACGGTAGGCAGAGAGAACGGAGAGTTAAAGCATTTTTTTTCTCCTATATAAAGTTGAAGTCTGAATTCTCTTATTCACCATAGAAATTTTATATTTACCTACTACTACGACTATAATATGTCGTAACTACGCTAGTTCGAAAAGAAAATACTAGATTATTATTTCGAAATCAATTATTTCTAAAGCGTAGCGCTCTGATTTATTTTATAAGTAAATTGTAAATATAATAAAAGCAGTATTTTATTTATTCATTGAGGTTATTAAAGGTTGCCACATAAATATTTATAACTTTGCAAATTGTATACTAAATTATAATATACTAGCGGCTCACCCAAGCTTCGCTCGGGTTCGCCTTTAGACAAACAAAAACAAATCTATCCCACTACACTATGTGTTATTCTGATATATGAGCTATATTATTGTAAAGTTTAATTAAAATCCATTTAGTAGTTTTTGCGTGAAAGAGTAACAAACATCCATACATCTATACATCCAGACATCCATACATCCTCACAAACTTTCGCATTCATAATATTAGTATGATTATTCATTACATCATTTGAATTAATTATATTTTAATAGTCTCTTTTTTTAACGTTGAGAAATTTACTTATGCATATCACCTGCTGACTTTAAAAGTAAAATATGAAATATGATAAATTTGTACCTACTCATCAAACGCTGAAACAGATAGATAAATGGTTTACAAATAACTTATAGGCATCAAATCAAAAAATGTACCATATCAAAAAATTACTTATGTGATTAACATATATAATATATATCATACTGCTGGTTATGTCAAACTGAGCTTAGCTATAAGCTAGTTTAAAACCTAGTCTAATTCTTATAGCAGCACTAGGTACATCTAGATCAAGCGTATTGCGGGAAAAATCTAGTACTTACAGAAATTTTGAACATCATAGACATTTTTCAGCTTTCAAATTACCTACTTAAGAAAATACTGAGTCGAATCTGTACATTAAATATTTTTTGGAAAATCTTATTGAAATAGTCATTATTATCGATACAGAAGTTTTTAGAATTTGTCTCTCTGTCTGTCTGTCTGTCTGGGAACGCATCACGGGAAAGCCTCTGGACAGATTTTGGTGAAATTTTGTATGATAATAGCTGGTTATCCGGGTCAACATATAGGATACTTTTTACTGCGGGAAAATATCTCATCTCTGAGAAATCTATACTAAACGTTAAAACGTAAATAAGTTCGTCGCTAGAAATAAAAAATAATAATATAAGAAAATATTGATTGTTGTTTTTGTACTAAATAATTTCGTTTTCTGCATACATTTGTATGAAGATAAAAGCGTCATAAATTGAAACTATCATCTCAATAGTCATCTCAAAACGTATTAATGGGCATGTAAAAATTATAATTAATCATTATGGATTGTAATCTTATGGGCGCAAAAAGCCTGAGCAAGTTACTAAGTGAGAAGGAAAATTGTTAAGGCAAGTGGACTAAGGAAAATGCTACTCTCAAAGTTGCCATATATAAATCTAGAGTAAAGGTTAGAGGTCAAACTGCGCTACGTACTCTTAAAATCATATACCTATTACATAGTTTGAACGTTTCAAAAGTTACAAAGGTTCGATTTTCAGTTGAAGTAAACAAAATGTTACTTTAATAGAAAAGAGGTATGTAATATCTCCAATTGTTAAAAAAATCTATGTCAGTTATGGCTGTTATTTTATTTTATGAATGCAGGAAAGAAATGAATGTTAAAATAAAAAAAACCAAAGAACTCCACGAAAATTCGTTCACGTTGTTAAGTTTTTTTACTGACTTGAACAAAAAAGGGGGAGATAGGTACCTACTTAATTCTAAAATATCTTCGCAGTTTGTATATCGATAATCGATTATCTTGATCGAATTGTTGTTTATACATATTGTTTTTCAACAGGGAGACTACTTCGAATTGATAGAAATATTGTAAATTATAGTTTTACTTTAAAAAAAGATTATACTTTAAGAAAAGATATTGGTCCCGCTGAGTTTCTTTCGCCAGTTCTTCTCAGGTCTGAGGCTTCTTCTTTCCGAACTGGTAGTAAACCCATGACCTTCAGTAAAAAATTGTAATAATTTAATGCTGAATAAAATATTTTGATTTGATTTGATACCTGAATTATTTCTCCCTAGATCAAGGGCATGGAAACATCCATATGAATGTCAATAAATAATACACCTATAACCTTTTAAATTGTATGTATACAAATACCTGCAAAAAACAACATTGTAAGCCAATATTATAGTAATTTTAAATTTGGACATGAAATATATGAAAAAATAATGTTTATTTTTAAAATAACTCAGTATTTAATTAAATTGTATATCGTATTTATGTATTGATACTTAATATATAGAGGAGCCAGTGGGCTCTATCGCTCGGCACTAGATTTGCCTCAGCATGCCATCCGTCGGGGCGTCGTCGTTGAAATTATCCTGCGGCGCCCCATTAAGTCGGGATGTACATATAATATTATTGATTGTAAGTGGATAATACGGGTTTTCTATTCACCATATGTAAGCAGGTGAAGTGCGTAAAGACCTTTCCGAACATTAACTTACAGACTAACAATATTTTCCTATTTTTTAGCAATGTAATAATAGAGTTATTTAAAATTAATAAATATGTCGTTTTTGTTAAAAAAAAAATGATATACGAAAAGTTCAGATTTTTATAGATTATATTATAGATGTTTTTTAAGCACAAAGTGTAAGTACTTTTAGTGTGTAAATTTCTGAGTTTACCAAAGAACAGCGAAACAACACGGGTGAAGCCGTAGATATAGACTAGTTTGATTATTTCAAAATGCTTGTCTACAGGCGGGCCTATTCGTGGCGCTGAAGCTGGTGGCGCTGGCGCAGGCCGGCAAGGACATCAACATGAGCAACATACATTCAGAAACGCCACCACCAAAAGTTGTAAGTGTTCACTCATCTATATATCGTCACTTTCTATGTATTTTGTTTTTTATAACTTATTTGTGCAATAAAGAATATACATATATATATATATATATATATATATATATATATATATATATATATATATATATATATTACCTGTGGTAATTACGTTTAATTTTATCGATATTTTGTTCTAGCAGCCACTCCAGGCAATAGTTGTTTTTTTTTTATAATACAGACAGGGGCAATAAATTTAATATAATAATTAATAATCATAATTGTAAGTGCGAAAATAATTTTATTAGGATTTTAAATAATTAATAATAACCAAATAAATATATTATTAACTTTTTTTTTTAACTCTTTTAAAGCACTAACATATATTGAGACATACCGTGTCTGCCAAATTAATCAGGAATGGCAAAACCCTTACAATAATCATGAATAATAAGTGAAAATTCGTGATATAAAGCTCGAAAATGACACATTCAGTGTCATTTGACATTTCAAGAGACCTCACTCTAAACTAGCGCCCTCTCGCGGAGAATTCAAGCACGGTATTCCTCATTGTAATGCACCAGTAAGTTTATTTTTCATCTTTCAATTCAAGTAAAAATCCTACATCGATTCAGTTTTTTCGAATTTCCCAATTTTCCTGGAAATTAATGCAGCGTCTTTTCTTAAAAATCATTACCCGGATTGTTATTAACATTTAAAAAAATATATTCGTATAGGTCTAGCTGATCTCAAGTGATGATTTCAATCGCGTTACCACTGGGCCAACACTGCCCTATCCTGTATGGTATAAACGTAAACGTAATTTTATGAAGTACTTGGAATATTATTATTCTTATTACGATGAAACTTTAGTGATTCTCTTTGTATGTACGAAAGGCGGCCTGCTGTAGTTAGTTACTTGTATTGGATTATTTGAAAGTTTTTAGTTTGTAAAAAACTGTCACTATCAGTAATTATTTGTTGTATTAGCATAGTCTAGCATCAATATGACGACACGTTTGGCTCAGTTTTTAGTGACCCTAGTTACTGTGCCAGCGGTCGCGTGTTCGAGTCCCGCTCGGGGCATTCATTTGTGTGCTGAGCACGAATGTTTGTACTCAAGTAATGGATGTTTATATTTATAATATGTATGTATTTAAAGTTACACATGTGTATTGTGTAACTATAGTGTATCAACTATCAGGTATCCATAACACAGGCCTCGTAGCTTACCACGGAACTATGTGGTGCTGTGTGTTAATGTCCCAACATATTTATTTATTATTAATATTAATTTAGGTCTATTAACAAAATTTGGGTCCGATCACTTGTTTCAAATATAAAAATATAATTTCTAGTGAAAATTATAATTGTTTCACAAGTAAATAGTGCGTATTCGTACCTTACAGTTATATTCCAGACCACATAAATATTAAACATTCATTCAACTAAAATCTATCTCTGTGCTAAATTTCATCCAGATCCGTTCAGCTGTTCTGATGTAAAGGAGTAACAAACATCCATACTTACAAACTTTCACATTTATAATCTACACATATAATAACATTGTAACTAATTCGAATCTGTACATTAAATATTTTTTGGAAAATCTAATTGAAATAAACATTATTATCGATACAGAGTTCGAATCTATAGTTTTTAGAATTTCTGAGAAAAAATACGAAAACTGCAATGTAAGAGTATACTAATATGTAAAACCTAAGAATTTGGTTTTTGGTCATCTGAACGCGGGCGGAGCCGCGGGCAATGCTAGTATTTATATATAATACTAGCGACTCACCCTCGCTCCGCTCGGGTTCGTCCCTAATGTGGGCCACCCTTATCACTTAAGGGTATGCAAAATAGATAGTAGCCGATTCTCAGACCTACTGAATACTCATATAAAATTTGGTAAAAATCGGTAAAGCCGTTTCGGAGGAGTACGGTAACTAACATTGTGATATGGAAATTTTATATATTAGATTAATACGGATAGTTTAAACTGTATTTGCAAGACATAAAACACGATGTTCCTATTTAAAGTAAAACAGTACAACGTAGGGAAGCCGTAGGAGCTATAATATTTTAAAAAGGCACATCACATAAAAGCTATAACACGTAGATATATGTAATATATAGGGAGGTACTCGCCGCTAAGGCTTATTTTACTTAAAAGAAGACTAGGTAATTAATCGAATAAAGCATGATTAAAAATATCATTGACTGCCAACTCCAAGGACATTTTTATGTGTTTAACCGGATTTTAATTAGAAACGTTTCAGCACAGGATTAACTGGTTCTTATCGGACATTCTTTTTTCTACTTAAATTCGTTTTAATTTAACATTTGAATTTTCGAAAAATCCATTGATGAAAAGTGTTTGTATTTTTAACATAGAAATTTTAACAAATATTTTTAAAAACAAGCTTTTATTTAAATGCTCTAAAGAGAAGTAACCTTTAAATTAAATCAAACTCATCAATTTATTACATTACACAATTTATTTATTTTTTTATGATTTTTTTTCTGTTATTCGTATTCTTCTCGGCAAATTCCCTTTCATTTGATATCCAAATCATGGAGGTGCATAAAAAACATAGTTTGCCATCTTTGAGATTGCGCCATATTGGATTTAGAATGACGTCACATAGCTAACCATGCATAGTCATCCAAACTTAACGTGTATGCAAAATTTCAGCTCTATCGGTTTAGGAAAACTGCTTTAAAATTCAGTTACAAGTCAAAACCCGAATAAACAAACATTGAAATTTAAAAACTTGTAAAAAATCTATTCGATTTGCTACTGTATAAGTAGTGTTAAGTGCTAGAAAAAATAAATTTTGCTTGTTATATGTAGGTACTATACAATTTTGAATCAGTCGAAACCACCACCCTTTTTTGTCCTCTGAAAATAATTTAATAATTTTAGAGTTAACAAACATACAGGTATTATATGTTTTTATTATTTAATAGATCACCTTATATGTCGATAATACTTAAAAATTTTGTAAAGTTTTATCACTCTTTATCACTCAATTCATGTTATAAACTTAATTACTAATGTATAATGAATCAATATCTCGAATTGTTCTATCGAGTTGAGGCCGCCCTTGATCTAGAACTCTTGGTAGAATACTCGACTACAATGTTTAACGAGTCCTCTATTCACTTCACTGCGAGCACGTACTGCTTCATTATAACAAGCTTTAATTTAACTGGTTTGATTAGTATGTCTGACTTTCTGGCTCGTTTAATTGAGCTGTGGGATACCTATAAATAAATAAAAATAAATAAGTACATATGTTGGGACATTTACACAGAGCACCATCTAGTTCCATGGTAAGCAATATATGTATAACTTTAAATACAAACATATAATTATAAATATAAACACCCATGATTAAAGTACAAACATTCGTGCTCATCACAATAATGAATGCCCCCAACGGGACTCGAATCCGCGACCTCTGGCACAGCAGGTAGGGTCACTACAAACTGAGCCAAACGGGTCGTCAATGATGACATGAATGATGGAATCCTGTAACTAGACTGATGATGGAACCAGGGGGTGATCATAGAAACTCTTTAAGCTATTTTATATATGTGGCTGAGTGATACACTCGCCCGCAGAAGATGTATGGAGGTAGAAGGAACATCCCTTCATCTCCTAGAGAGTGCAGATCACTTATGTACTAGAGCAGTACTCATTTATTGTAACCGTCGATCAAAAAAGTACTAGATACACAATCCCATGCAAAAGTACTCTTAGAACTGTCACCAATTGTATTTAGGTAATTGTTGTAGTTGAAATAAATATACAACAATGGAAATTGAACTTAAATGCAATGCTGAAAGTTAATTTGACAAAAAAAAAATGGTAATTTTAACGTATGTACATACGTATGAAAAAATATTTCTCATATTGTAACTTAAAGGAGGACACTTCTTTGCATTAATATCTCACGTTTTATAAGTAGTAGGCAGTAGACACGATGTTCAAGACGTATAACTTTTATGTGAACAATTGTGTACACACTTTGGTAAAGCGTACTTGTTTGTTATCTGCCAACGTAACGAGTCCTCCATCTGGAACGTTTCGGGTTAAGTCTCGCTTCGAGTATGGGACTTCATTATAGGTAAAAATCGATTCGATACTGGCATCGAGCCAAGCGAGTTTGTTGTAGTTTTTCAAATTATAGAATCCATAATTTACTACTGTCTGGAGTGAAGTGAAATTTAAATGAGATTTTTTCCCCTCACTTAATATGGTCCCAGACCAAATTAAATGAGTCATTTTGCATATTTTTTTAACTTATATTGCTTTTTTATGATGTTTTATGTTGGTTCTGTAGAAAGGATTTATCGGCAAATTTATATTAAAATTGTTTTCTTTAGGATTCCATGCCCTTATTGGAAGCTTATTACTAAAGCCGACGTTATTAGCTCTTCTATTCATCCATCTAAACGTTTGTTTCTTTGTGAATGCTACCTTTATAGGGCTGTTTTTTTTTTGAATTGTAATAGGATAAACGGGAATAACTGAAAGGGATTTATTCTATAGGATTAATTATGAACTCAAATTCACAAAGAAATTCATTGGGACAGAATAATTTCTTTTGGGTTGCAGGGTCAGCTAGTACTTAATAAGTAAAGATTTAGTTTGTTTATGTTTCGACAAATTTTATTATGAGAAATTGTAGCTGCTTAGTCAAAATGTATCATTGTTTTATTTTTTTGCGTTTATTTGAATCAATTCAAACATATTTGATTTGAAATGTCAAAAATTAATTTAAAAAAACTAAAAGTTTTATTATAGAATCGAACCTGTTACTTTTGTCAGGGCACCTCCTATAATATTTACGATTGATATGATTTCAGGGGCCTGTTACTTTTGTTAGGGCACGTCTTATAATCTTTACGATTCTTATGATTTCAAGGGGCCTGTTACTTTTGTCATGGCATATCCTATAATATAATCTTTACGATTGATATGATTTTAGGGGGAATTACCCAAAGTGCCGCCGCCGTCCGCCACGCCGGCGACGGCGCCCGCGCTCGCGCCTCTTAGCGACTGGAGCGTGAAGCCGGCCGAGCGCGACAAGTATAGTCAGCTCTTTGACTCGCTACAGCCCAATAATGGACTCATACCTGGCAATAAGGTACGGGATTCTCGAAGGGTTTTTACTAATATTATAAATGCTAAATCTATACATATAATAAAATTGTAACTAAGCCGAACTGTACATTAAATAAAATCTAATTCATGTTTTCTCCATTCTACGTGACATTGGCGAAGTAATCTGTGCTCAACTGGCACACTTTGAGGGCTTTAACAAGAAAATTGAATTGAATTGATGTTTCTTAACAAAAATAACTGTCTAATTTTTAACCCCCGACGCAAAAACGACGGGGTGTTATAAGTTTGACGTGTCTGTGTGTGTGTGTCTGTGGCGTCGTAGCTCCCGAACGGATGAACCGATTTTGATTTTGTTTTTTTTTTGTTTGAAAGGTGAATTAGTGAATTAGTGTCCTTAGCTATGTTTGATGAAAATCGGTCCAACGTGGTGTCGGGGTTTTTTTATTTTTAATTTATCACTTGTGCCTAATTAACTTTTATAGATCAGTGAATTGTCGCTAATCCATTCTAAACTTGTGGTCGCCTGCCGCGGTGCGTCATAAATGGACTGGGGATAGTATTCATCGTCTGCTATTCAATGTCGACATTTAACCTATCAATAGGTCTACCTACGATCATTAAACGCCAAAACCCTGTAGCAAACGTTATATACTTGTTACAGACAGTGCCTATCCCTACCTATATAATGATTTTTGAGACGTCTAAAACCTTAGTCTCTCCCGTGACCATGATTGTTATAAAGCATTCGAAACGTCGGGAACCAAAAATCAAAATAAATCCGTGAAATATGTAATACGAAAAGGCAGTTTTATTTTAAAATATTAAATATTCGTGTAAATCTAAGATAGTATTATGAAAATATTAATTATAGATTATTTTGATTTACAATGGATTCGTGTTCTAGGTGAAAGGAGTTTTGATGGAGTCAAAGCTTCCTTTGGAGACGTTGGGCAAGATATGGGACCTCGCCGACCAGGACAAAGACGGCATGCTTGATAGACACGAGTTTATTGTTGTGAGTAATAATAGTGTAGTTTTTGGTTTGTTTTTATATTTTTTACTAGTCACTTACTCTCGCTTTGCTCGGGTGCGTCCCTAGCGATTTTTAGGGGTTTTCGTTTTTTGCTCTGGAATCCCCAATATTTTCAGAATAAAACATACCCATAAATAACCCTTTAATCAATCTTATGTATTCAGCCTATTCCCTTCAACACGAGGGATATCCGGCCATAGTCCACCACGCTGGCCGAGTGCGGTTTACTTCACATGTCCTTCCAAAACTTGCTAGGTTCTGTCGGAAATTCAGGTTTCCTCACGATTTTTACCTTCACTGTAACTTACGGTCTTACGATCCTTAAGATAAGTGGTAATAATGTTGGAAATTATTGGCATATGAAAATATCAGACGTGTTAGAGCCGGGATTTGAACTCGCTTCACTCGGTTTTCCAAGCGAGCGTGCAATAACTGGTCTACCAGTCTTATAATAACGTTTATTATATTCATGATCATCTACACTACTATTATAAAGAGGAAAGATTTGTATTTTTGTAACGAATAAACCCAAAAATTGTGGGATCGATTTAGATGAAATTTGAAAAGAAGATAGTTTAAGACCCTGGGAAGGACATCGGATATTTTTTATTCCGGAAATCATCATTCAAGGGGGTGAAAATGGGGAAGTAGTACTTTGTATGGGGAAGCAACCTAGGGACGAAGCCGAGCGAAGCTAGTGTCAAATAAATCAAGTAATATGTATCTAATCTATTATAATCTTCACAGGCAATGCACCTAGTATACAAGGCGCTAGAGAAGCACGCAGTCCCGACGACGCTGCCGCCGGAGTTGCGCGCGCGCCCCGCCCGCCCGCCGTCCCGCCCGCCCTCGCGGCCGCCGTCCCGCCCTCCCTCGCGCCCGCCCTCGCCGCAGCCGCGCGCGCCGCCCCCGCGCCCGCAGCCCCCGCCTCAGTCTAATACGTCGCTGCTTGAGGGATTGTTGGACCTATCTAGTGTAAGTACTTTAGTGATTATATTTTTATTATTCATATTTTTTCCAAAAATTGAAAATTAAGGACTAATATCTATGTATATTCTTTAGTGAAAGTAAAAGAACTGTATGGTAAAATTGAGTATAATAGCACATACCGCAAAACTCAGTACTATTTTTTCCTGTGACATTATTATGACATTATTTTTAAGTGAACTCACATGCAATATATTGTATATATATTACATATAACTTAATTTGCTATAACAAGTTACATATGATGTGGCTATGGAAGAGCGAGATTGCCTGTCACAGGTGTTTTTTATACTTAAATGCGGCGATTTCAACCTTGTTTTTATTATTCTAACATTTGGTTAATGAACAAAATATTTTTATTTTATTTTTTATATATATTGTATATACATGTACAGCCCCCCGCGCCCGCGCCCCCGCAGTACATCTCGGTGGCGGAGCGCGCGCAGTTCGACGCGCAGTTCGCGGCCGCCGACACCGACCGCGACGGCTTTGTCAGCGGCCACGAGATACGCCACGTGCTGCTCGACAGCGGCCTGCCGCAGACCACGCTCGCGCAGATATGGTGAGACGAACACTATCATTCAAATCAAATCAAAATATACTTTATTCGAATAGTCTTTTACAAGCACTTTTGAATCGTCAATTTTACATTTTAAATTAAAATTAAATGTCAGTGTAGTCAGTCCGTAAGGAATCTACCACCGGCTCGGAATGCAGTTCTGCTGAGAAGAACCGGCGATTCACACTCACAATGACTTACTGTCACTATCACTCATTCTCACTATCACTAATTCTCACCATTACTCACTTTCTATATCTTACTATCATCATCACTCATTTTCACTATTACTAACCCACATCAAGACATAACTCTTGCTATGAATTATTTTCACGATAACTCATTATTATTATTTTTATTATTATATTTCTTTCTGTTTGTATTCCACTCAATATTGCACACTTTTATTATGACATACTCTTACCGATCTCACTAATACTTTCTTAAATTTACGCGAATATTTAAAATTTTAAATAAAACTATATTTTCGGATACGGATAAATTCGCGAAATATCCGTAAAGATAGTTTTATTTAGAATGACCTGACTCTATTTTCCACCCTTCGGACTACTCATTCTCACTATGACTTACACTCACTATAACTCACTTTTGAAATATAAATTATTATTTTATTAATGAAAAGGCGTTCGTGTATCTAAAGAAATATTATTATTTATTGTTATATATGATGTGCAGGGCGCTGTGCGATACAGAGAGCGTGGGCAAGCTGTCGCGCGACCAGTTCGCGGCGGCTATGTGGCTGGTGCAGCGCGCGCTGCGCGGCACGCCGCCCCCGCCCGCCCTGCCGCCCGCCCTGCTCGCGCCCGCCCCCGCGCCCGCGCCCGCCCTGCCTCTCGCCGCCCTACCTCCGCCACAGGTACGTACACAGCTCAATACAGTCTAATCCAGCGGTTCTCAAATTTTTTGGTCACGGAACCCTAATTGATTATATATTTTTAAAGGATCAACATTTTGATAATAAGTGTTAATAACTTAACTGATCGTGTTGTATTTGGAATATTTTCTTGTTTGACTTGAAAGAACAAATCATAAATGAAAAATATTTATACTTATAATAATATTTATTGTAGCAAAAATATAACCTAGCTATTTAATGTAATGAATGATTTTTTTTCACATATTCATTTATAATAGCGCTAAAAGTAGGCTATATGTCTGACATGGTTTTTTTAATACTCGAGCGGAACTTAGAACCCCTGTGACCCTTCCACGGAACCATAAGGTTCCGCCGACCACCATTTGGGAACCGCTGTACTAATTCATCCATCCAGTTGTCTAACGATGGTGTCTAAACAGGGCAGTTTCGAGACAAGGGTGAAACGCACCCGACTCTCATACTTACTTTTATATGACAGTCGGGAAACGGGTTTGGAGTTAACGGGTATAACTAACCTTCCACGAAAGTACTTATAGTATTTCAATTTCAAACTCGTTTGCCATGTAAATTGCTATTTTATGGCAATCCTTGCGTTTGACAACATTTCCTTTAAAATCAACGTCCAACGAAAAAAAAAGTTATTTTGACTTTATTTCGATATAAAGTCACGATCAATGTCAAATAAAAGACACGAACTATGAAGTCATTTATTACTTGATCTAGTCGTTATAATGTTTAAAGCTATGGGTGGGATTTTGGTTATCTTTACACTGTAGTTTGGATCATTCTCGTCCCTATGTGGAAATCGAACCCGTGACTTCCAGCTAAAATACACATTTGACTATAAAAATATTTTTAATTGGAAGTGATTATTATATACGATGTATATTGTATATGTATCAAAAAATATTGTCAAAAAGTTGTCAAAACCAAACATTTAAAAATATACATTTTCACAGATCTTGTATTTTACTAATAAATCAGTTTTTAAGAACGGACTTCAATAAAGTATGAATTTATAATTTAAAATAAACAACAAACCTTTACGATTACAACGTTGAGATATCTGCATTTAATGAATATGAACTTTTGGTTTATGGTTAACTAGCGATTTACGCTCGCTTTGCTCGGGTTCGTCCCTGGGTACGTTTTAATTTGTTTGAGCGGAATCCTAATTGTTTTTCTAAAATAAAAGTAGCCTAAGTTACATCCTTATAATATCAGCTATATGTCCGGGAAAGTCCCGTCAAAATCGGTGTAGCCGTTTCCGAGATTAGCCGGAACAAACATACAGTGACAAAAAAATAAAAAGTATTTTTTTCATATGAGTAGGTAACGTATATACTTTCATATGCATTTAGTAAAAAGCTGTGATTTTGACATTACAAACAGACACTTCAATTTTATATATCTGTATAGATAACATTATAAAAAGTATGAAAGTCCTTACACAATCAGTTAAACCGTTCCAAAGATTAGCGTGGACAAACTGAAAGACGAACAGAGAGATGAATCCTTTAAAAACAGTTGTTTAGGTACTACTATCATAATATAAATAATTCTATGTACCTACTTGACAATAGATAATTATTTTGAAATTAAAGACACACTTCAATTTTTAATATATAAAACTTAACCATACTGTCCATAACGGCACGTTTGGCTCAGTTTGTAGTGACTTTACTTGCTGTGCCAGTGGTCGCGGGTTCGAGTCCCGCTGGGGGCATTCATTTGTGTGATGAGCACGAATGTTTGTACTTTAATCATGGGTGTGTATCAACTATCTGGTATCCATAACACAAGCCTCGTAGCTTACCATGGAACTAGGTGGTGCTGTGTGTTAATGTCCCAACATATTTATTTATTTACTAGCGGCTCATGTGAAACTTTGTGAGTATGGATGTTTGTTATTCTTTTACGCCAAAACGGCTGAACGGATGTGGATGAAATTAGGTACTGAGATAGATTATAGTCTGGAATAACACATAGGCTACTTTTTATTCCGGACAAATGTGCGGTTCCCGTGGGATAGGTTTGTTTTTGAGCTTTCGTAAGTACCTTAAATATTAATATTACACACCTGTGTAACCCGTGGCATAAGAGTAGATGAAAAAGATATTTGAAAGTCCCGTAGGGTTAGACCGTAAGTCGAATGTAAAACCAAATTTAAATTCATTTACTGATTATATTATGGACTTATCATTTTATTTTACGACTATTGTTTTTAAACTATTTTCATTGTTGCATGAATATTCAGTGAAGGTTATCTGCGTGCAGGTTGATATCGCGCCGTATAATACACCACTATAAAGAATTGACGTTAAATCGATTTAGTTCAATTCGATTTCTAAGCAAATAAGTTCACTTGTTAAGTTTAGAGAAGTATTTTATTTATTCATGTGTAAAATTGTGTTTTGTGGCTATTGGAGATTTTAATTATAATTAAGAGACAATGGTGAGTTGTGCATTAAGATATACAACCTATTTTTTTCGTTTTAAAAGTATGTTTTTTTTCGCAGATGATTGTTTTGCAAAAATGTTTTATTTGAATTGTAATTGTACCGAACGAGAGAGTGTAGAATCGGTTTTGGGAAATTTGTAAAATTTTGTAATTATTTTGATGTCTTCCCGGACCGACTCTAGCCGCGGTGGCCAATCTCGCTGAAATAAGCCACCTTAGGAGATATTGTAGTGCACAAAACAATAATGACAATAAAATAATTATAATTTATGCTTTTTCTTTCCGAACTGTAGACTCATGAGTCATGACGTTCGCTTAAAAATTGTAATGTTAAATAAAATATTTTAAATAAAACTATCTTTTCGGATTATTTCGCGGATTTATTTAGATTTTCGGTTTCCGACTTTTCGAATGCTTTACACCCTTACAATAATAACGCGTTATTATTCTAAGTTAAACCTTGGTCCAACCAATCATGGTTACGGGAGAGAAGGTTAAGAAACGTCTCGAAAGGTACAGACCGATAGTTTTATTTAAAATGTCAAATATTCGCGTAAATCTAAGAAAGTTTTAATCGTAGGCTAATTTAATATGTCGTTTTGTGTATCAGATGCCGGAGCCAGTGAGCCTGGGCCCGCAGCCCACGCCGGAGATGGAGGCCATCGCACGGGAGGTGGACGCGCTCGCGCGCGAGCGCCTCGCCTTGGAGGCTGAGGTGGCGGCGAGGCAGCGCGAGCTCGCCGTCAAGGGCGGCGAGGCCGACAGCTTGCAGGTGGGTCACCTGGCCGACTTGTTGTGTTGGCTGACAAATTTGGCCGAAACGTTAGTGTTGGCCGATCGTTTAGTTTGATATGCTTGGGTTTTGGCCGACAATTTGGTAGATATGTTTGGGTGTTGGCCGACAATTTGGTTGATATGTTAGTGTTTTGGCCAACAATTTGGCCGCTATGTTAGTGTGTTAACCGACCGTTTGGTTGATATGTTTACGTGCTCTTCTCAGCAGAACTGCCTTCCGAACCCGTGGTAGATTCATGACAAACTTATACACTCATATTTAATTTAAGTTTAAAATGTAAAGTTGACGAATCAAAAGTGCTTGTAAAAGTTTTTTTGAATATATTTGCTAGCTAAAATATTTGATATGTTTGAGTGTTAGTCAACAATTTGGCGGCTATGTTTGCGCGTTTGGTTGAAAATTTAACTGGTATGTCTCAATGTTAGTCGACAATCAGGCCATTGTCTGAGTGTTGGTTAACAATTTGGCTGAACTGATCACTTATCATAAAAATGGTATTGTATTTATTTGGCATCGCACATACTTTAAGAAAGTAAAATTGCCTTTTTCAGAGCGAGCTGGACACATTAACGGCAACGTTAAAACAGTTAGAAAACCAAAAAGGCGAGGCACAAAAGAGGTTAAACGATTTAAAATCACAAGTAAGTTTATCATTTTCTTTATAATGATGATGATGTTCTCCCGACCGATTCCGGCTACGGCGGCCAATCTCATTGAGACTAGCCAACTGCGCAGGAGATATTATTGTGCACAAGTGTACGCGCAGACACAAGTGCACTCTCTATTCCTATCACTCTCATATTCCGGTGGGACGACTGCTCGACACGACCAGTGAGAGTTAAGGCGCAGGACCGACGGCTTTACGTGCTCTCCGAGGCACGGGGGTGAAACACCGCCAACTTCCCAACTCCGGGCTGTTACTGAGGCTTACTTATACAGAAAGACTCAATAACTAAACTTGGCCCGACCCGGGACTCGAACCCAGGACCTCCGGGTGTGCAGCCGTACATGCTAGCCACTACACCACGGCGGCAGTTCTTTATAATAATATATTTATTTTGGTGTAAAGTGCCAGTGCTAATTATTATTAACTAAAAAGCTTGCATCTTACAAACATACAAAAATAAAAAATGTTTCCTCCTTATAATAGCAATAATTGTAGATGTGATTATGATGTGATGTATGACGCTGCAGGTGGACAAGCTGCGGTCGCAGGTGTCGGCGCAGGAGGCGGCGGCGGCGGAGACGGAGGCGGAGGTGGGCGCGCGGCGCGCGGCGGCCAGCACGCTGCGCGAGCGCGAGCGCGCGCTGCACGACGCGGCGGCGGCGGCGCGCGACGAGGGCGACGCGCTCACCGCCGAGCTCAGCCGGGTGGTGCTGGCCGTCAGCCAGGTGAGGCGCGTGTTACGTTTTACTTAGGGCGTTTTAGGGGTAATAAAATTATATGAAAATAGCAAAATAGTGTAATGTAAATTCATGTTTTATGTAAATTTAGTAAGTAAGCCTTTATCTATACTTATTATAAAAATAAGTCCCCCGGCCGCGTCTTTCTGTCCTCCTGTCTGTCTGTACGCGATAAACTCGAAAACTACTGAACGGATTTTTATACGGTTTTCAACAATAGAAAGAGTAATTCTTGAGGAAGGTTTAGGTATATAATTTATTATGCTTTTATGTAAATTAGCTGAAATACGGCGACAAATGTTGAAGAGGTCGCAAAAAATCTCGCCAAATGGGAACTTTCCACGCGAACGCCGCGTAAACTAGCAAAGATACAGTTAAGTAATGTACTAGAGAATTCAAAATCTATAAAAATGCTACAAAAAAGTCCGCGATAGCATATCTCTATCTCTTACGGTTGACTTACAATAACCACTTTTATGTTAACATTTTTAATTAAAAACATTACGTTATTTTCAAAGTTATTTTCTTTAGTTCGGTATTAATCCTTATCCAAATGAATATTTTAGTTAGCTTAGTCATTTAATGCAGATTAAAATTGCTCTTTACACTAAATCAATCAGATGAATAGTTTTTGAGATATCGTTGTTAGAAGTAATTAGTAGCGAAACATTTTTAATGCTTGGCGAGCATTGAGATGCCTACGGCGAGTCCATCCCCTCTGCCCCGCATCGCTCGACCGCCTGCTCAAGCTATATAAACCGGGCGATGTAGCGCGCGATCCTAGGATACTTTTTACCGCGGGAAAATATCTTATTTCTGAGGAAAAATACAAAAACTGCAATGTAAGAGTATACTAATATGTAACACCTAAGAATTTAGTTTTTGGTCATCTGAACGCGGGCGGAGCCGCGGGCAATGCTAGTAATAAATAAATAAATATGTATGTATATAATCCAATCCAGGCAAAGATCAAGATCGGTCACCTGGAGGAGCAGGAGCGCGCGGTGGCGGGCGCGCTGGCGGCGCTGGCGGCGGGCGGCGCGGCGGACCTGGCGCTGCGGCCGCTGCACTCGCGCGACCACCTCGAGCGCCTTGTGCGCGGCGCCACGCCCGGCAACGAGGTGCGTGCCCACGTGCCCCACTCTCCCGACTTGGACTCCTACTCCTCTCTATTTACGTATATATTCGTTATACATAAGTACCCCTCCCCTATATATATACACCCGAATTCCCGACGCGGTGCGTGCATCTCACTCTCACACATGCCCCAAGGGTCATACTTACTCCACTCTCCCGACATGGACTCTGCTTCTCTCCATATACATATATAATCCTTATACAAAAATACTAGCCTCCCCCAGAGATGTGAAAAAGGAATCGATTTTTATATTAATGGATTGTTCTTTTCTTATAATCGATTTAATTAATCGATTCTCTAAATATTAAAAATCGATTTTTAATGAATCCATATATTACTCTTTTTTTTTTTTAAAACTTGATTTGGTTTTCAGTTTTAAAACTATCGGATTGTCGTTTTTGTTATCGATTTGGTTATTTTATTATTATGTACAAAAAGTGCAACTTTTCGAGCAGTTCGATAAAATCGATTATTTTTTTAGTTCATCGATTTTATACACATCGATTTGTTTTAAGATTTATTTTAGGAGATATATTTATTTAAAGAGAGAAATCGATTATTTAGTAATTGTTTTTATTCCTCCAAGGCACACTCCTACTCTGCCTTATATATATACATACACCCGAATTCCCCTCTTCCCTCCCCTATACGCACCCCACCTACCTACGCTACCCCACGTACCCTACTTCGCTTCACACATACCTCATTGCCCTCATTGCACACATTTACCCGATTTTCCTACTTACATTCCCCAATTTTTTCCCACACACACTCACACATTTACCATACTAAAAATATATATAATTAGGTTATACTAGTTCATGCACACGGCTCTGCCCTCATAAAAATGCTTCATTAAAAAAAAAATCATGTTTAATTTTACGTTTCGTTTCAAAAATATAGTTACAAACACACATACATGTTCACAATTTTTCACATTTATTAAGGACTAGCAGTCCCGCGGCTTCGCCCGCGTTTTAATTTGCGATCGCTACCAAACTTCACAGGATCACCCGGTGGGCTAATCTAAAGATTGTATGAAGATTTCATCATATTCGCTCCAACCGTTTTGGAGTCTGTAGGAAACATACATACATACATGTGTGCATGTATATGTACATATTTGACTCAGTTTGTGGTGACCCTACTTGCTGTGCCAGCGGTTGCGGGTTCGAGTCCCGCTGGGGGCATTTATATTTATAATACACATGTGTGTATTGAAAGTTATATACGTGTAATGTATCAACTATCTGGTATCCATAACACTAGCCTCGTAGCTTACCATGGATTTAGATGGTGCTGTGTGTTAATGTCCCAACATATTTATTTATATAACGATTTTTATATATGAATATATAGATAGATTATTATTATTGTACGTTATCCAGGAGGACGAACAGTACGCAAACAATGAGTTCGGAGCAATGAACGGTTCTAGCGATTTCGCCGCGGACCCCTTCAAAGATAACGCGTTCTCGTCAGTCCCACACAACGACCCCTTCGCACCCGCCACAAATAACTCTACACAGGTAATGAGATATGTTTACTTAATATTTATTTTCGCGATTTTGTGATATTTTAAGTAAAAATATCTTTTCGGATTTCCTTGTGGTTTTATTTTTATATTTCGTGGTTTCAGACGTCTCAAAGGCGTTATATGCTCGTACTTGTTACAGACAGTGCCTACCCACAATTTTACAAAAAATGATTTCATAAATGGCACCAAAATACCTTACAATTTTGTTGATTTTAATAAGTATTATAATTAAATACGGCAATATTATTTATTTAATTTTAGCTGTATTATTATAATTATTATATTTATTATTAAAACTTTATCAATTAAGATTATTTAGTGTTGCTACTATAATATTATGTATTCTATCATAAAGCTATATATACCATAAAGAAAATTAAAAATATTAATAATTTATTATAATTAACAGAATAATATTTCCTTCAATAATAGGATGCATTTGGTGGCGACGCGTTTTCGAACCAGGACCCCTTCGCGGGCGACGCCTTCACGCCCGCCGACGCCGCGGCCAAGCCCGCTAACGACGTGAGTGTATTCGCCTATAAGCTATACTAGCAGTTCCCGTGGCTTCGCCCGCGTTCAAACTGTTGGTCGATACCAAACTTCACAGGATCACCCATGGGCTAATCTGAATATTGCCTGAAAATTTCATCAAAATCGCTCCAGTCGTTTTGGAATCCATAGGGAAAATACACATCGATTTTTATTTATGCTTGTGTAAGAAATAATGACTTCAAAATAAAAAAATAAAGTAAATTGCTAACCCTTAGATCAAAGTAAAATGGCTACTCAAAAACAATATATTATTATCTATATGTATAATAATAATAATATAACACTCGAGAACGCCTGGCGAGATATGGATTTTTTTCTCAAAATGTTCGTCATTTTTCTTGAAAAAAAGGGGGTTAAAATTTAATTGGAAAAAGCGGTTTATCTAAAAAAAATAATAATATTAGGATTTTTGTACAAACTCAAAGATCACAAACCATTTTTTTTATTTGGACGACGTTAGACTTCCCTCCTACGAATTCAGCTAGTCTCAATATGATAATGACAAATCGATCGTTAGTTTTTCACCCGTCAAACTTAAAATTGCAGGCCGCCTGGGAGGCCGATCCGTTCGCAGTCCTCCACGCGCCCACCAGGAACTCTGTGAACAACCCGACCAGTGCTGCCAGCATGAGTGCTAGTGCCAGTGCCGCCAGCGCGGGCGCCAAGCGACACAAAACGCCGCCCCCGCGCCCCGCGCCGCCCCGCCCCATGCCGCCACATAAGGTAAATGACGTCACGACGCGAATGTGTCTTGGGCATATGGATATATCCTGTTGAATGTATGTACTATATAGTTTGTCGTTCGTTTTTTTAAATTGTAAGCATATTTACTTTGGCACTTAAAATATAATACCAATAAAATATAATTTTCAAGGTCTTGCGAATATTTGACATTTTTAATTAATGTATAGTTTCTACTTTCCAATGTTTTAGTACAGCGAATATCACTCGCTACAGAAATATAAGTTTCAACATTAACCATAAATATATTTTAGTAGTATAAAAAATAATATATATGAGTAAATAATTGATATATTAAAGATATATGTAACCATATATTATATAAAATATATTAAAAAACTTCGTAACACCAACATAAACAGGGTATGTCCATATAATCATGTCGAGTGACATTATTTTTTTTTATTATATCTGGATAGTGTATTGAGTATTTGATTGATTTACAAAATATTAATTAACTTAATATTTATCTATCAGTTTTATCAGAAAATGTGTTTTAAAACATTTTATTTTGTATTTATAATATTTTACAATTAATTTTTAATTACTTACAAAAATATTTGCATAGTGCAAAATATTGCGACTACGTCACATGAAAGCTTCATTAAAATGAGTTTAATCATTCTTAAACGTCATCAAATACTCAAGTTTTTAAATAATATATTTCTTTAATATATAAAAGAACACATGTTTTACAATAATTTTGAATTATTCAGTTTTTTTAAATGATTTTTTTGAAACTGTTTTTTTTTTACATTTTATAAATTATTATTTTTATAAGAGATTATTTTCAGATTATTTTTGTATTAGCCGTTATTTCCCCATTTCCTAGTTGATAGCGGCATGAACCGAGTAGCCGTCGGCCATTTTGAGCTATGACAACTTTTTTTTATTATTTTTAATTTTTTTAACGCTGCAGAGAAAGTAAAAAAAATGTATGTAGTATTAAATTTTCTAATATGTAGGGTGCACGTCTTTAGAGAATGGCATTTTGTTCTTGAATTGGTATACTAAATAAATATTTTTCAGCCATTAATATCTTTATATTAAATGTGACGTGCTTTTTAATTTTATTTACTTTCTCTGTTGCGCATTATGCCATTCTCGTATAATTTTGTGCACACAAGGTTTTAAAGGTTTTCTTTTCTTTTTAATTAAAAAAAATAAAATACCTTTAAAGTTAACAGTCTGCCAGAGCTAATACTCAAACTTTTTTATTTATTTATTAAGATAAATAATTTTTTTTAAGATAAGTAAAGATTGAGTTTTAGTCGACGCCATTTTTTACCGCTTCGCTTAGCGCTTCGTTGGGACGAGCATTTTGTTTGCATTTTTCCATTATTTTTATCATTACATTCATATTTTTTATATATTAGTCTGTCTGGGTTTTTGTGTATTATTCATTAGAACGTAGTTATATTTGTATTATTTGCTATGTGTAGTCTCTTACAAAGTGTTTTTTAGTTGCTAAATTTAGTAAAATCTTTTTTAACATGTTTCTGACAGATATACAGACTAAACATCTGTTATTGTTAAGTACTATAGTTATTGCATGCATTAGCAGATCTAATTAGAAATAAAATAGTATTAGAATAATAACTTTTTTTTGAAATTTTTTTTTATTTAGATTTTAGATTATTTTTTTGTCGTTAAAAAATAATGTTAAATTATATCAACTTATTAGCGACTTACTTTATTAGAGCGCGTAGAGAGGTACTCGAATTTATCAATTTCATGAGTTTTAAGTTTCTTGCGCGGAACTCTAATTCTTTTTCTAAAATAAAAGTAGCTTAATTTACTCCTTATAACACTACTAACTAACATCAGCTATATGCCAGTGAAAATCCCGTCAAAATCACACCAGCCCTTTTAGAGATTAGCCGGAATAAACAGACAGACAGACAAAAATGGTTATCTTCTTATAAGTACTATATATCTATACTTATTATAAAAATAAGTCCCCCGGCCGCGTCTTTCTGTCCTCCTGTCTGTCTGTACGCGATAAACTCGAAAACTACTGAACGGATTTTTATACGGTTTTCAACAATAGAAAGAGTAATTCTTGAGGAAGGTTTAGGTATATAATTTATTATGCTTTTATGTAAATTAGCTGAAATACGGCGACAAATGTTGAAGAGGTCGCAAAAAATCTCGCCAAATGGGAACTTTCCACGCGAACGCCGCGTAAACTAGCAAAGATACAGTTAAGTAATGTACTAGAGAATTCAAAATCTATAAAAATGCTACAAAAAAGTCCGCGATAGCATATCTCTATCTCTTACGGTTGACTTACAATAACCACTTTTATGTTAACATTTTTAATTAAAAACATTACGTTATTTTCAAAGTTATTTTCTTTAGTTCGGTATTAATCCTTATCCAAATGAATATTTTAGTTAGCTTAGTCATTTAATGCAGATTAAAATTGCTCTTTACACTAAATCAATCAGATGAATAGTTTTTGAGATATCGTTGTTAGAAGTAATTAGTAGCGAAACATTTTTAATGCTTGGCGAGCATTGAGATGCCTACGGCGAGTCCATCCCCTCTGCCCCGCATCGCTCGACCGCCTGCTCAAGCTATATAAACCGGGCGATGTAGCGCGCGATCCTAGGATACTTTTTACCGCGGGAAAATATCTTATTTCTGAGGAAAAATACAAAAACTGCAATGTAAGAGTATACTAATATGTAACACCTAAGAATTTAGTTTTTGGTCATCTGAACGCGGGCGGAGCCGCGGGCAATGCTAGTACTTTCATATGCATTTAGTAAAAAGCTGTTATTCCTTTATTCTAATTCCTTTATATTCGTTATTATTTGTAAAGATTTGTTTATGTTTACCATTTTTTTTAAATCGGTACAGCTTGAATATTACGTAAGACAAAATTTAATTTATATCTTTCATTTTTAGGTAGATTATGTTTAGCTTTATAGCATTTTGTTAGTTAGACAAATTTAGTTCGTAAAAAAATCGCTTTTGATGCTAGATGCATGACGATCCTTCCTTTATTTATTTTATTTCATTTTTATTTTTATATATTATTTATTATTATTTTTATTAATTAAATAAATTTTTATGTAAATAATTCTATTATAAATATTGTTCTTTGTCCGTCACTTGACGCCAGCGAATGTAAAAAGCAGTACTATAAAGATGTCATTCATAATATACAGTTAGTATGTTGGATACTTAAAATTTATATTACACACTAATTCTCAGAAAAATAATAAAAATAAAATTAACAATTCAAAAAAAAAAAATGTAGTGTCGGAAAAAAAATTCGCTGGCGTCTAATATAATCTGTTCATACCATTCAACACTTCCACTAACATGCTAACACGCTCGCGCTTGTCCCACATTGCAGCGCTAAGCGGACGGCGGGCGGGCCCTTGTGCGTACACCCTCACCCTCACCCCTCCCACACCCACACACCCACTCACCCTCTCTGTGTTCGCCCAGAACAAACCCGCCCTCGACTTCACCGAAGACCCCTTCAAAGACTACCGATACGAGGACCCCTTCAACATCGAAGACCCCTTCGCGGATGATGCGAAGAAAATCGACCCCTTCGCCCGACCCACTTCAGTCGCCGGATTCGAAACGGATGACTTTTTTAACGCTTCGGTTGTCAATGGAAGCTTTTCGAAACCGGAGAGACAAAGTGGAAGGGTCTCAGCTCCACCGGTCGCCTACGATCCATTCTCTGCGTCGAAATCGAATAATAACGAAGCTTGGTCCGCTTGGCCCAACGACAACTGGGCCATGGAAGACGCATGGACCAAGCCCAATCAAGATACATGGGCCAATTCCAGCAAAAGTTCTACTAGCGACTGGAAAACAGATAACTGGGCGAATAAAACTGATAATTGGGCGACCGATTGGGACTCGAACGCGAACGCAAATACTAATAAGAATACAAACAAAAATCTAAACGAGACATGGCCCACGAACACTTTGCCCAGCAAGAAGGAGAAGTCGCCCAAACCAGTAAAATACGCGAAATCATTAGTACACACAATTGGGGGTATAGGGAGGTCGAGACATAACAAGGATAAGAAAAAGCCGACTGAAGCCAAAAGTACAGAGTTTTTGCCCACTGAAGAGCAGCAGTGGGCGTGGGCCGCGGCTGAGTCCAAGCGTCTCGAAGCTGAGGCTGAAGCTAGAAGGAAGCAAGAAGATGCAGAACTTCAGCTTGCGCTAGCTATATCCAGACAGGAGAAGTGACCCAAAAGTGCCCTATTTTTAGGGAAAAAAGGACTGAAAGGATATCAGTGGTATTAGATTGGCGGTTTGGGACTAATTCTTGCCTTACACGCAAATTATTTGTATCGGTATCGATTGACTACTAATATTTCCTAGTCAAACTAAAATGCAAAATCTGAGGTCGATGAACAAATTTTTTTTAAGCTATTAAGAATAAAGACCGATTATTTACGTAGTGATGTGAAAAATAGAAACTTTTTAATTTATTAAATTCATCGATTATTATTATTTTTTATAAAAAAAAACTATTTTTATATTTTACCTGTATTAAGTACAGATAAAAATTGGTTTTCGTGAGTTATTTTTCTTAATAGCTAGCTCTACCTACATTATTTGTATTATCTTGGAAAGGCCTAATGTAATATAATAAATTATGTACAGTCCTTAGTTTTATTATTTACATTCAATATTCATACTATTAAATATCTTGTATGTTATACTTTGGACCTATAATATATAAAATAAAAAAAAAGTTAGATTTACCCAAGATCGTTTACCACAAATAGTTAATTAGATACGTTAATTGAACAAAATGCTGGTATCACTTGAAATTTTAAAAAGTATGTAAATTATATGGCTTTTCTTTTTTTAATTTAATTAGAAATGTTGAATAATTAAAAAAATATTAAAACTTTATTAAAAAAAAATACATTTTAAGTGGCACCAGTGTTCTGAATGTGTTATATTTTATTCACCGCTAGTTATTTTTGTATAGTATACTCTATTTGTATGATATTCCATTCAATATAGAATTATAATTAAATATTCCTTATTTGATTAATGAGAGATGTCGGTAATAATGATTTTTTAAATAAAAAAAAGAAAATATTTTTTTTATCTACATTTTTTTAAATGTATGTACGTCGTATTTCTTTTTGTTATTGTGATGTGATTGCCTGTCATTAATTAACTGCGGGGTGCCGAGTGCAAATATGCATTTTTTATTGTTATTTATTCGTAATTATGTATTTTTTTGTCGAGTTGTTATTTTTCGCATGTTTGAACTTGGACTGTCGTAAATAAATATCCTAAATATTAGTATAAATACAACACGGTTATTTTTTTTTTCAAATATCGCAAGTATGACGTATGACAGTTGTTTTTTTTTATTGAGCTAAAATTTGTCACACGAGTCAGTGATGATGGAAAACAATACTTATTTATGTTTTGATTTTTTAAAGTTATGTTCGCGACGTGTACCCTTTACCACCGATTGCTTAAATATATTTTTGAAATAATTATTGCATTTTCACATACGATACTCTCTCAGCAATAATATAATTTCTATCATTTCGTTCGACGTTTTGGTGCCTTTCAATCCTTCAATTAACTTCGTGTTCTCGTATCGATGTCTTCATCATATTCCATGTAATTAAGTATAATAAAGCCTCCCATAAAATAAGTCCAGTAGTCGGAGTTGTGTAATCTGTTTATTAAAAAGTTTTCATACCAAATTGGTAGTTTTTAGCTTAGCTACGTAGTGCATCGGGCAACACTCGCTTATGTGCGCACGGGCCGTAAGCCGCCGGTACAATAACTATTCTAGCACGCTTGCTGAGACATATCCATTTAATAATGGCAACACTGAACTCTCAATGTCTCTGCAAGCCTTAGTTAAGTGTAAATGTAAACTTATGTATAACTATTAATACCAATGTATTTATGGGTAATAATCCTAAAAGTTGTTATCTCTTTCTTAGGCGCTGTTGTTTATGGCTCCACGGTCTGCGCGGACGCCATTTTGTAATGTTGCTATTGAATTAATATTTATATAATATGTTTGTGGATTATACGAATTTGTATATTTATTAATACGTTGTTATACATCATTTGTGACGAATTCGTCCCGAGTCAATTTGTTTTGAAGTTTATATATGTCTATGCGAACACTTCTGAGTCCGTGCGGGCCGCGCGACCTTCTGTTATCAAGAATATATTGTAACGTACCTTCAATAGCGAATTCAATAATTCTCAACGTTGACGTGTATATGTGTATTTAAAGCTATAAATAAAGTAAATTTGATAATATTACTATTAAGAACGCTTAAGTTACCGCTCGACATACTAAAATCTTAATTTTTATCAAATGTGTTGCCATATTGCTAAAATATAATATACAGGATGACGCTACCTAAAGTGGCTTTTTTAAATAAAAAAAATTAAGATTTTTTGAATAGCGTAACAGACTTTAGTGTGTCGAGAGATTTCTAAAAGTCGGTAGTGACGGTGCGCGGGACATCGATTCGGTAAGGACTGTCGGAATGTACTTCTCTTTCGCACACATTGCACTAGAGCGAGACGGCGATATTATTTGTGACGCTAATCAGTATTATTGGGGACCGCGCGCCTACTGTAGGAAAATATATTAAATGGATGGGGTAAATAATAAAATACGACAAAAAGCATGTTGTTTTGTAACCGTTAAGCTTCTTTGCTCACGTAGAGTTGACATTTTGGCAAAATCACGTGCCAGCTCTAACCCGTTACAGTAGGTTAGTAGATATGATACATATTGAGATTAAATAATATTATAAATACATCACAAAATTGTAATAAAACGTTGTTATAATATAAACTAATAGATATGCATTTATTGAAGTTTTATATTTTTAATAGTTTATTTGAATCTTTTATTTGTCGTCGCTCTTTGTATGCAACGAATCGTAAGTTCTAGAGTCATTCCAAAATAATTTATTGAGATTGATTTTGCAAGTGTACAGTATTCGAAGTTTTTCTCTGCATGTTTCCATTTGTAGTGAAAAGTTTGTGAATTATATATGAGAGTTATTTATTGTATCTCAAAATTTTATTCATACAATATAAGTCGTAGTGCGTCCTCGCCCTAAGATCCTTTACAGAGTTACCTATATTGTTTCTTACTAAAGCTGTTTTATAAAAGTACAATTTTTCATATCAATCGTGTCGCGTTTGTGTTATATGTATGTATGTAATTATATTGCTTAATTCTTGTGATAGTACTTAGATGTTCTATATATATACTGATTAGCGATGAGCGGAGTGGACTTGCTCTGGCGCAGCTTATTTTATATTAGGATCATTTTGTCTTGTGGCTATTTGAAACTATATAAAACTGTTTCATGGAAGAATACGCTGTGTCAGTGCAATAGATACTCCTACCGCAGTGATTTGTGATCAAAAACGAACATTTCCCCGATCACTGTGGTGTTGCTCTAATAGAAAAAAGGCTTTAATCCGTATTTCATATACATTAGATGTAGTTTTTTACTATTCATCATATTAACAATAAATAATATGTGTGTTCAATAACCCTGTACATGTAAGCTGATTTGTTTCGATTTGTTGAATATTTGCCAATATGTATACATATCGTATTTCATCTTCACTGGCTAAGAGCTGGTCGACGATTTCTTATTTCACACCAGTGTTTTTTAATACCTATACATAAGTACATACAGATATGTATTTATATTCATTTTAGTTTGACTTAAAATACAGTTCGAATTTATACTATAATTCTAAGTTTAATTCATAGTTATCGTTTTTAGTTATGAAAAAAATAAATAAAAAAAATCGTTGATCAACCCTCAAACCATTCATAAGCCTTTATATGTATTTTCTGTTAAACTAAGCATTTTCTATTATATTCGTATTAACAGGGACCCATTCGACGTGGAACTCGCTGTCTTAGATTTGATACGGTTGAAATTGTTTATGCACTAGATAAATGCAATTTAGGGAGTCTTCTAGGTAAATTGAAAGTTAAATGTTTATATGCGAGCGTTGTATGTTTGTACGTTAGCGTGTAGCTAGATTTCGAACCGACGTCACTTTGACAGATGGCAGTGTTGCCATCTGCGTTAAAATTACTACTATGGAAGGTATTTTTTGGTAGGAATAGATGCACTAATAACGACCTAAAATAAATGTTATGTTAAATCGGCTGTGCGCATCAATTATTTTTTTTTGTTTACACCCGATGGTTTTCAATCGAAGCTTTATTATGATTGAGAATTTTCTTTTTCTGGTTTGATTATTATTAAAGATTGTTGAGTTCAAGCTCACGGTTGGAAAGCTGATGTGTGTTTCAGTTATATAGGAGTGGTGGGATGGTACGAACTTTGTCGCGTACCGCCATACGTCATTACCCGCTAACACATTGTAATGAAACCTATGATATTATATTAATATGAAAATAATTCCTGAGATAATAAAATGAACAGCATACTGTATAAAGTTTGTGTTTTATTGTTTTCTTTTTTATTATACAAAACCTTTAGATTGACAGTTTTTTTGAAAGCTTTTTTTCATACTTAAGGCAAGCTGAATGGAGGATGAGTTGTTAAATAATTACTTATTTATTGATGTTATTAAACAAGTTTCAGAATTCATTTACCAAACTCTAGTAAGAAGCTATGGTAATATCATTGAAATTTAAAACAATGAAGATTTCTATGAATAGTACTTTGAAGAGTAACTCCTTAAACGGCTTTTACTTTTGTATTTGTATTTCGTCTGTATCTTTGGAAACAATTAATCTATTCTAAATTTTTTTATTAATAACCTACACAGATTTTTTTATTGACTTGCCTTGTGATTAAAATCGCGAAAAGAACAAGGGAAATAAAAACAAAATTATCATTTCATTATTTACTTTATATATTTTATTAATTTACATTAATTATTTTATTAATTTTATACACTTTAAATTAGTACAAATGGCGTCTATAATACTTATTTTTTTACACTTAAAACTTTAAATAACGTCATTACTTACATTATATATTATTTTGTACATAATTCAATTTATTTCATGTGTAATTGTCAGAATTATAATTCAATACTATTGTTATTTGTGAATGGCTTCAAAGCGTGCCAGTTGAGCACAGATTATTTCGTCAATGTCACGTAGAATTAATTCTAAAAAAATTTTAGTCAATATTATATATTCAATGTGATGTTTCGTAGTAAAAAAGTAATTTACAAGTTCTAATTAGTAGTTATATCGCCATTTCCATAACAAACATGGAGAATTTTATCTTTTTTTACATGTTTAAAGTTTTCACAATTATTCTAAATACAATTTTCTATTCCAATTCTATTATATAAAAAATCGATAAAAAATCATTAATTGTACAAATTTAATAAAAAAAACTAAATTAATTATTAAATTTATAATTATAGATGAAATTATAATTATTATACATAATTTATAATCTCTCATTCATCATGTCAATGTTGCCAGTTAAGAAAATGGTCCAAGCAAGCCAAAATTGCGATTATTTTCAAAGTATTCCCATATCGATAAAATCGTCGATAATGTCATTTAATCTCTCCGTGTAGAGTTGGCTCGGAGAGATTGCGAAGTCTTTTATTTCTATCTCCTGGTTGACAGTGGGCGCGTCCTCCGCCTTCACTGTGACGATGAGGAGACAAAAGACGCTGAATACAAGGCCAAGGGGTAAGGTCTGAAATAAAAACGTATTTAGTTGTAAATAATTATCTGCATCTAATATTTTATAAAAATTATCTTAATAATAATATCATCAATGTCGAATCTGTAGATTAAATGTTTTTTGGAAAATCTTATTAAAATACTCATTATTATCGATACAAAGGCCAAACCTATAGTTTTTAGTATTTTTGTCTGTTTGACTGTCTGGGAACGCATCACGAGAAAACCACTGGGAAGATTATTATGATACTTGGTTATCCGGGTCAATATAAAGGATACTTTTGACTACGGGAAATTATCTCATCTCTGAGAAATCTATACTAAACGTTAAAACGTAAGCAGAGACCAATCCGAGCGGAGCGCCGAGCGAGGGTGTGTCGCTAGTACCTAATATTATAAAAACACATTGCACCTGGGTTTAACTGTGCAAAGCGAGGGTATACTGTTGGTACACTATATTATAATTTCTCACCTGTTCAACTTCGTAGTCGAAGTCCTGCCTCGGGTACACATCATCTGGTACAACGTCCAATCTCTCTAGTGCGGCGCGCAACTCGCTGTAGTAAAACTCCAAGGTTTGCTTGAAATGATTCTTTCTATAAGCTTTGTCTGATCCACAGTAGATGAAATACATTAGGTCGAGTATCGGATTGCCTATTTGTAGGGTTTGGTAATCCACTGATATGATATCGATTGTGCCGTCCTGAAATTTAAAGTTAAGTTTCTTATTATTATTTGTGCATCACATATTCATAATCGGGTGAAAATTTCATATTAATATTATCTAAACGAATATTATAAATGCGAAAGTAGGTAACTCTGTCCGTTACATTTTCATGCCTAAACCACTGAACCAATTTGATGAATTTTGGTATAAATAAATAGATGATACTTTGGAGAATGATGGAGGCTTTTTGTCGAGAAACTTATCACGCGTGCGAAGCCGCGGGCAACATCTAGTCAATGTCTAAGTTGCAGTGAGTGTGTGTTTGGTATTTCTTAATGCAGTAATTTAAAATGTTTCCAAATCTCTATTCCGAATTTTACTAATCTGAAAAGTTGAGCTGTTATAGCTGGAAAAATAACAAACTTACAGACTTTCGTATTTATTATACTATATATTGTATTTATGTATATTTGTATTCATAGTTTACGTCCTACAGGTGTACACTGACCTCCCTTTACTACAAGGGGGATCTGGCTTTAGTCCACCATATGTTGGCTAAGCCATAAGTGCGGGTTTGCGGACTTTACGTCGTTCGAAAACTTGCTAGGTTCTCTTAGACATGCAGATTTCCTTACGATGTTTTCTTCACCATAACACCGTACACACAATTACTTAGTATTGTTTTTAATAATCTATATACATATAATAAAATTCTAACTGTGTAGAATTTGTACATTAAATATTTCTTGGAAAGTCTTATTGAAATAGTCATTATTATCGATACAGAGGCCGAATCTGTTTATTTTTAGGTTTTTTGTCTGTCTGTCTGTTACCGCAGCATGAGAAAACCACTGGACAGATTTTGATGAAATTAGGTATGAAGATAGTTGGTTATCTGGGTCAACATATAGGATACCTTTTACTGTGGGAAAATATCTCATCTCTAAGAAATCTATACTAAACGTTAAATCTATAATTGACGTAATAATTGTATAGCACAGAAAATATAGCTTATTTTCTTACAAAATACAATATTATGTAAATAGTTAATTATTGTTTACGTTTCTGAGTATTCGAGCGTCATTATACTTAATACTGTATAGTATTTACGACACGGATAGATGATTATCTATAATTTATTGTACCATCGTTCACTGCTATATCATTCTAATGATAGAGGAATGGACAATAGTCCAAATAACGTATAATGCTTCCATCAAATTTCGATAATTTTACTGTGGATACTACGTACATAGGGTCAATCTCGGTTACACGTTTCGTACGTTTACACAGCTAATGCTGGATAAACCTTTATCAAATACTAAATAATATACCTATTAAAGCAATGTATTAGACTAGAAAATTGTAGGTCAAAAAAACGCCTTAACAAAAGTCCGCAATGGTATATGTCTATCTCCTAACATACTTGTAAATAATTAGAGACGGACCGACTATGAGTTTCGCCGACTAGCCGACTAGTCGGTTGGAAATAGATCGACTAATCGGCCTACTAGTCAGCCTAGCCAATAATTGCTTTCCGCGATGTTCGGGCGGCATGTTTGTCGCGCTTCGCATGCCTTACACGTGTCACAAGTGCAGAGTGCTGACATGTTCGAACAGGTTTTTGTTTACTATGCATTTTGTTACTTGTGTTTTTTTTGAAAAATAAAACACAAGTCATAAAATAAAATAAAACAAAAGACAGTTTGTATTATAGTGAAAGCACCTACTTAATTAAAATTAAGTTATGTCATACTTTCTTAGAATTACGCGACTATTTGACATTTTAAATAAATGTACTAAAGTAAGTACCTATCTTTTCGGATTTTATATTGACTTTCGGTTCCCGACGTTTCGAATGCTTTACACTTTACAACAATCATGGTCATGAGAGAGACTAAGGTTTTAGACGTCTCAAAGGCAATACATAGTTGTTAGAGACAGCCTACCCAAATTAGAAAATGAATTTTAATGAAAATAATATTTTTCATTGTTAATAATTATTCTCCTATTTTAAGAATAGTAATATGAATAAAGTAATGGCCGACTATTCTGTGCTTCTGGCCGACTAGTCGCCGAATATTAATATGGCCGGATAGTCGGCTTTCCCGACTAGTCGGCCACTAATCCGTACATATCTATGAATAATAATCATTTATTCTAATCATACTTCAGTTCATCTGAGATATAGCTTCATAAGAATATTAAAAGGCTGTCTGTTAATTGTCATGTTAAATAGCTCTGGAACATTAAAGCTGTGCACGTAAAATGTAAATATACTCGTAGTAGATAAAATAACTTGCTTATTAGTCTGGTATGTTACGGTGTACCTAATGAATAATAATGATATGCATATTATGTTGTCTGTACATTTATTTATTTATTAGCTACTTGCTCTGCTTTTATCCAGGTGTAGACATATACATAAAAAGGTAGCTACTGTGTGAACTATAAGTAGGTACTATACTAAAATTTTCTAAGTCTTCTAAATTTATTTTATGTAAAACTAATAAGCCCGTAATTTACGCAAATTAAAAACGAAGGAGAACCGAATAACTTGCTTTCATTTCTTTACAATATTATTACAGACATCCAACCCTTGATTGCTTCGAGACCTTCATACTTTTAAATCCGACCCTGTACTGTATATCGTCTAATCTCTGAAACTCCTAAAACGTGTTCAGAAAATCCTTTTACTAACAGAAATCTACACAATTAATTTCTATTTTTATTGCAAGTGGAACCGCCGCTGGCGAAAAGTAATTAATTGTCATAACAAACTCACCTCGTGTTCTTTGTGCATCAAGTTGCTTGGTCTATAGTCTCCATATGCCACTACTGGGCGACGTATTGGCTTCTGCCACTTGCCAAAATCTATTCTCTCTGAGATTGTTTCTACGAACTTTCTAAAACGTTCTTTATTTTCTTCTTTAGTTACTTCTATAGCATTTTTTACGACATTTTTAAAGTACTCCATTATAGGTTCTACGTTTTGTTCACTCTTCAATTTTTCAGCTGAATCTTCAAATGCTTTTGGGTCACAAATCGACCAGGCTATAGACAGGGCGTGAAGTTTTGCCAAGTTTTGTACACTCGACTTTGCGTACTCCCAAGTATAACATTTAAATCTGTCATATGATTGATATCCAGCGACCGTTAGATCTTCTAACACTACTGCCTCTTTGTAGCATTCGTCGTTAGCTGCGTAGAACTTTGCTGTGACGAGTCTGTGCTCGGGCGGTACCATGTGTCGCTCTTCTAGATCTTTATAAATTCCCAGGAGCTCTCTGTAGAAAAAGCTTTCTATTTCAAATATTCTGAAGGGCGCCACCGATCTCATCTTTTCCCCTATGGCGGCAACTTTGACAAACAGCTTCAGGTCATCCTTATCTGGTGCAGAGATAGTGGCGAGATAAAGATAGCTAGTATAATTTGCGCCGTCACTTGATATTTGTTTGAAATTTATGTCGCAGTTCTCGTATTTTTGTTCTTTAGCGACTTTGTTTAGTATATCCTTGAGTACTTTTTCTGGGTCCATATCTCTTCTGCAAATAATTATAATGGTTGATATAATAACTGCGTGTAATAAACATAAAATTTATTATCTTAGTCGTGTGTTTTGTTATTGGAGAATATACAAGATTTCCTTATTGTGTTTAATATTTTTTATTCTGCATTAATAAAACATTACGATAATATATTTCATAAATAATCTTTTTTTTATTTTCGACCTTTTATTTTTAGAGGGTTTCGACTAACAGAATGTAGCATAAAGTCAATATAGTACGAGAGATCATATTACCGGTTTACATACTAGGTATACGAGTACAGGCTTAGGCACAGTCCACATAATACAATTGCCTCATTCCATACGAAGAAATTGGACAATGCTAATTAGGGTATATTTAGTTTGCTTGAATAGATAATAGATGTCGTTGATCTGCAAAATTGTTTTATTTGATTAATATATTGAAAATTTTCGTTAAATTTAACAAATTTTGACCGTAGTAATGAATTCATAAAAAGTAAAAGCGCCTTCTGTGAATATATCCTATAAATCAATGACCGATTTAAAAAAAATCTGTAAATTACTATCGCTGTAATGCTTTGGTTCACTAGCGCAATATTTTATTTTCGCTTACTTAGAGATATTTTTAAAATCAAAATATACCGTTTTGGGATCTATTTTTCATTTCTTATTAATTTTTAGCATAGTTTATTATACATTTTTAGCATTTTAGCTCAGCATAGGAGGGGGGAGAAGAGCTTTGCTTACTTTTGCTGACAAGGGGGAGGGAGGGGTTAATAAGTACTAAAATTCTGCCTAGGTAATACTTTCATGGCCCCAGACTAGCGACTCACCCTCGTTCCGTTCGGGTTCGTCCCCAGTTACATTTTAAAGTTTAGTATACATTTCTCAGAGATGAGATATTTTCCCGCAGTAAAAAGTATCCTATATGTTGACCCGGAGCTATGATCATTATAAATTTCATCAAAATCTGTCCAGTGTTTTTTTCGTGATGCGTTCCCAGACAGACAGACAAAAATTCTAAAAACTATATGTTAGTCCTCTGTATCGATCATAATGTCGATTTCAATAAGATTTTCCAAAAAATATTTAATATGATGTCCTCCTAACCGATTCCGGCCACGGCGGCCAGTCTCATTGAGACTAGCCAACTGCGCAGGAGATATTATAGTGCAGCGCGTGTACGCGCAGACACAAGTGCACTCTCTATTCCTGTCACTCTCATATTTAATATACGTACAGACTCGAGTTGGTTACAATTTTATTATATGTATAGATATCTACATGTATTGACATTGAAAAATACGGAAATGAACCCACTTGTTATTATTGATCATTTATCAATTAAAGCCAACGGGATGCTCGTGTGACGAGTAACGCGTGACGCGACCTTGAAATTTTACTTCAAAATAGAGCCGGATTGAGGAGGGGTTGCTTTTTTAAGATAATTTGTATATGAAATGAATTAGCCAGTTTTTGTAGTTCCGTAACAATTTAAAAACAACCAACATCTTTCATTTCCTTACAATATTATCGAGGCCAGAAAGGACGATTCTCCCGGAACCCCGCACTTAAATTCGGCCCTGACAATGCCGTTGTACCTATTCATACAGCAATAAAACTAGCGATTTAAAGAGGGCAATTGATACATATTATTAACTAGTGTATTTTATTAACTACTATACATATTATTAACTAGTGTATTTTTATCTTTATCTTAGTGCTGCGTATATACGAAAATATATGGTGCGGTGTGGTATATGATGTTAGTATATAACATAGGCGCTGGGAGACGGGTACAAGGGGGGTATCTTTCACCCCTGCCATGAAGGAAATTATATAGAAAAAGTTAAATAAAATGAAATTGTATGATTAAAATCCGTGTTTAAATTTAGATACCTATATTTAAAGAAAAGATGATAAATAAGATATGAATAAAAACTCATGTCATTCTCTAGCTTTCCAACTATCTCCAAACAAAAAGCCACTCTGTTTCGACAGCACTATAAATATATGCATAAAACCTTAATTAAAAACAAATGGTTAGTAAATTCTAGTTATTTTACAAAAAATTTAGTCTTTACTTTAATTCCATTACATCAACATCAATTGGTCGGGGGACTTTGAGGGGAAGTACATCATAAATAGGATGGAGGAGTCTAGGACAGCTAAAAAGGATACGAGGGAGTGTCTTAATCAAAGACATATTAGCACAGGGAATCCCCGACCCAAGTCTTCGCTAGACCCTTTATATATAGATTACCCTTGCAAGTATCGAAAGTGCGCCCTCAAGTGTAGTACTTACTGGTCATTGACTCATTCAATAGGCCATAAAAGCTTTATACAACAAATAATAATACTTTGAATAAAAAAACATAAAAATTGAACAAAAAAACAAGCTTTAATCAAGTGGATACAAACGCGACTGGATAGTTTTTTCATATTGTCTGATTGCCGCAGTGAATGAAGGTCGTTGATAAATTATAAACAACACATCATACGTTTGTGTTTCATCTAAAAGTTTAATTCGCGATAAGAAAATATGACCAAGCTTGAAAAATTGTGGGTAGATTGACATTTGTAACTTTTTCCAATAAGATGTTATATATGGGTATGGATACAACTTCCTTATTTGAATCGGATATTATAAAATTTTTCATTAAGTAGTATTATTTTTTTTTCGTGGGAACCTATTTTTTTTCTAATATAAAAGTAGCCTAAGTTACTCCTTATTACATCAGCTATCTGCCAGTGAAAATCCCGTCAAAATCGGTCCAGTCATTTCAGAGATTAGCTAGAACAAACAGACAGAGAGACAAAAATTGTAAAAAATGTTGTTTTGGTATATGTACCGTGATTGCATCCATATGCATTTAGTAAACAGCTGTTATTATGACATTACAAACAGACACTTCAATTTTATTTATCTGTATAGATTTGAATATCGTCGGACATCAATGCAAATAGTATTATATAAAACGTATTTCAAAGTTTTTCTATAGAGTACAAATATTTTATTGTTCGAGTATATTTTTGAAAACTAACTTTTAAGAATAACACGATTTATTGATAGATAGACATCTTATATAAAAATTTTAACAGACAACTACTTCTTACTAAACACTGCAATGATATTACAATTTTTATTAATTTTATACATGGTTTTAATTTTCAAATAAAAGTTAATCAAAACAAAAAGTACTACTTATAAAAGTTATTCAAATCAAACCAAATGAAAAAGAACAATTTTAATGAAGAAAAATATCAATTTCTGTAACTTCGCCTAACATTATATAAGATAATAATTGAAAAATCAGCTTACAGATATTACTAAAAAATAATAAATGGCACTTACAGTGTAATAAACGTGCGCACCGTACATATATCAACCTTGAACTAAGGCTATGTAAAGCTAACAGATTCGAGATGATTAGTCTCATTCTACACGATTTTGTTACAAAAGTTATGTACACGGCACAAACCATGAACGAATAACAAAAAATACTAACATTCACTATATATTAGTTAATTGTTATAGTTAATAAATTATTTATTAACACCTTCAGGTAAATTTCTAAGAAATTGATTAAAATTCTAAGAAATCTATTGTTAACTGACACGCCGGCGTGTCCGCGCTCGTGGAGGGTTTTATTTGTCATCCATGGTGGAGGGGTTAAAATGAATATGAAATTTAGATAAATAAATGGTTATTTTTTTACTTGTAGATGCATGCAACGGTTTGAATGGCGCAATATTGAGTCATATGTCATAGATTTATTGAATTGGACAGACATTTGTTTTTTGTCCAGCTGACAAATTATTCAACTGAACTGAAGAAAATATTTGATTTCATTTTCATGAATGATTTCGATTTATTAATTATTTTTATTTACTTCAACGAAATGGTGCATCTTAAGCAATATGGTGTTAATTATTTATTTTGTACTATCGACTTAAACTCGCTTTGCTTCGGTGCGTTACTAATTAGTGACACCCATGACTGGTGAACAAACATTCGTGCTCATCACACAAATGAATCCCCCTAGCGGGATTTGAACCTGCGACCGCTGGCACGGCAAGTAGAGTCATTACAAACTGAGCCAAACGTGTCGTCATATATAGTTCATTCATCATCTAAATAAGCATATACCTAACGGTTAACTTATGAGTGAGACAGCTATAGCAATGATGATTGAACCTACCTAGTATGGCTTCTTATGTATTTGCGACAACATTATATTTTATTGTTAGTAAATATTTGACTGTAACTATGCGCTTGTCACTAGTGTAATGTAGTTGCAAATGTTTACCTTTAATGTTTGTTTGTCACGGGTGTTCGTATTTATAATATGTACATATATTTAAAGTTATATATGTGTAGTGTATCAACTACCTGGTATCCATAACACAGGTCTCGAAGTATAATCCAGTTATTGTTGTATAATCACAATTGGCCCTTTAAAGCGATGTGGTGAAAGCGATTGCAACAACCTAATACTTTACATCTTACGTGAACGGTAATGGCTAATGCCGTACTTAAATGAAAAGTATGGCAGTACCATAATTAAGTACAGTAGATACTTATAGACCTCAGAAAGCCCTTTAAGACAGTCTAGGCGTTTTTTTATAATAACTATTAACTATCTCTTTCTGCCGACATTATCTATTTTAAATAAAAGAAATTGTTATTTAATTGTCACAATCCTCTTTTTGTAAAAGGAATGCAGCTAACTTCATCATGTGGCTTTATGGCTGTCGGTGTGCGCGCGCATCGTAAAAATTTTACTCCCAAAAATTTTCCGAACGTTCAAAAGAAGTATTTCTTCAAAAAAAAGCTAAGCAACTTCACTAACTATTAAGAATGGAATGCAAAAAATGATCACATGGGGCTTAACTTGAACAAAGACTCACAAGTAACCTTTAAAGTGGAAATCCACTCACTATCCACTTTTTGCATCGGTTCTTATAGTTTCAAATTGAAACAACATTTAGAAGTAGGTTGAAATCGACATTTAATATTTTATTATACAGTTACTTACGAATACTTAAATATAATAAAGTTGTGTTAATCTATAATAATATTATGAAGAGGTAAAGTTTGTGAGTTTGTGACGTTGTAGGGGGTAATCTCTGGATCTACTGAACCTATTTAGATGAAATTTGGTGAGAAGATAGTTTGAAAAAGGAAATCATCCCCTAAGGGGGTGTAAAATGGGATGAAAGTTTGTATGGGGAATCAAGCTGGGGACGAACCCGAGCGAAGCAAGGGTGAGTCGCTAGTTCATTATAACCGACTACGAGTAAACTGACTGTGACATACGGACTGACATGATATTATGTAAGTACCTATAACAATAGGGTCTCATCAGGAATAAAGAAAAACATTTAAAAAAATATCAATAATGTATCATATGTAACGATTTATTTATATTTGTATATAAGCAACTTTGACGACACGATTGGCTCAGTTTGTAATGACCCTACTTGCTGCGCCAGCGATTGCTGGTTCGGTTCTCGCTGGGGGCATTCATTTGTGTGATGAGCACGAATGTTTGTACTCCAGTCACGGATGTTAATATTTAAAATATGTATGTATTTAAAGTTATAAGTATATGTGTAGTGTATCAACTTTCTGGTATCCATAACACAGGCGACCGGTCCGTCCGTTTCGTTAATTAATCGTCAATAGCATTAATGCTAATTTTTAAGTCACCTCGATCCTTATAATATTTTTACCCTATCAGGGGACGAATTTCGAATAATCTGATTGATAACACGTATTGCTTATTTTTTTATTACTATATATACTTATTATTATTTTAATATTATATATATATATATATATATATATACTTAATTTTAATAATAAAAATGGCGGATTTTCTTACCAACTTTACCACCCACTTTGTCCTCTTACGGGATAAATTACAAAAATGGTAAAACACATGTTTATAGATGAGTTGAAGAGCATTAATACCAAGTTTCAACTAATTCTGATCATAAATATTTTTTTGGTTTGTATTATAATGTGTTCTACAGTGGGAATGAACTGATCTCCCGCGACAAAAAGTAGCAGTCACTCTCCACACACCAAAAATCAAGCAAATCCGTCTCTTCCTGACGTGAAAGAAAGATAAATAAACACACAAACAAACAAAAACACTATCAAATTTATAATATTACTATGGAAGTATGGATTTTGGTTTTAGGGCTAAAATATTTTACTCAAAGCGATTTAGATGGATGAGTTTGTCTAGAGGCGGGTTCCTTAGATTTTAAAGCAGTATTTTATACATTGTTTTAAAATACTTTTTGATGAGAAATACTTTTTTGGATTTCATTAAGATTTGGATATTGTCTAAATTAAAGACGCAATATTTTTCAACATTGAAGTTTGTTAATCGTCGTGAGTTGTACAGAAATTTTTAAGTAAATAAAAGCAATGTAAACTCCCTCAAAAAAATCTACAATAAGATCTGCAATAACTCTTACCTCTTATATTTAACCAATATACTTGATTACTGGTTAAAAAAAGTAGTTTTGGTTTTAGGTGCCTATTGGAAATAAAAAATATTAATATTCTTTACATCATTTCATTATAGAGATATAATTTGTCTTTTACGGTATGTTTAATCTATACATATAATAAAATTCTAATAGAGTCGAATCTGTACATTAAATATTTTTTGGAAAATCGCTTAGGTAATACGATTATTTTTCACATAGAGCGATAGATCGTGCGTCTTCTGCGGAATGACTGCACAATTTTCGCTGATCGCTGCCGTTCAATACCTTTCTCCCCTCTGTTTATCAATCGATTTTCTTTTTTTTTGTAACTACTGACGAGCTATATAGGTAGATACCCGTATCTAACACTAAAGCTCAATAAAAATTTTTGGAAGTACCTTGATTTTTTATATAGAAAGATTTCCGTCACATTGACCAAACACTTTACACTAGCACCTATACATTAACAGCTATGTAGACATATTAAAAAAAATAATGTTTTCTTTAGAAATTTAATATGAATAAAACAAAATATCTGACCTTCTAAATTATCGTGTCGGAATTGAACAGCTATTTAAATTGGAGTAAACAAATATTTAAATTATCTATTGTATTGATTACATTATCTTTTTTATTGATTTTGATTAGATAGTTAATGCCAATAATATTAGGACAGTAATAACGTTCAACACTAAATTTCCGATCCATTTTTTATAAGGTTTTAAGATCACTTGCTGAGTATAAAATCACAAAATGCTGACAGATTTCCGTCGAGCTTCAGGCGCCATCTTGAAAAAAATTTTTGGCCGATATCTCGGAAACTATGCACTTTAGGGCAAAAGTCATTGAGACCATTTTTGTAGAGAATAAAATTTCGCATCTTTTGTTTCCTGTAAACATTTTAAAAGTTATCGGCCGTGATAGAAAAACCTATAAGTATTAGTATGATATTTAAAAAAAATATACAAAATTTTAGTTTTTCGGAGGTGAATACTTTTTTACAATTATATTATATAACGTTGTTAGCTATTGTATAAAAAAAAATCAAAAAAATCACGCATATTTCCTATTAATAAGCACTAAGGCGACGAATTAGTGTAGATATTTTTTTCGCTTCGTGACATGAAGAGCTCTTTTAAACACGGTATCCTTGTTCTGGGTTCTGAGGGCAGCGACACGGTCTTAAGTTATATTTATATTTTTATATTTTTAAGTATGCAAATCTTACATACTTAGCTTTATAGTAATATTATTAATAACTGCCTCGGTGGTGTAGCTGTGGCTAGCATGTACGGCTGCACACTCGGAGGTCCTGGGTTCGAGTCCCGGGTCGGGCCAAGTTTAGTTATTGAGTCTTTCTGTATAGTAAGCCTCAATAACAGCCCGGAGTTGGGAAGTTGGCGGTGTTTCGCCCCCGTGCCTCGGAGAGCACGTAAAGCCGTCGGTCCTGCGCCGACACTCTCACTGGTCGTGTCAAGTGGTCGTCCCACCAGAGTATGAGAGTGACAGGAAAAGAGAGTGCACGTTGTGTCTGCGCGTACACTTGTGCGCTATAATATCTCCTGCGGAGTTGGCTAGTCTCATTGAGATTGGCCGCCGTGACCGGAATCGGTCAGGAGAACATCAATATTATTAATATTTTTGTTGTTTTGGTCTACAACAGAGCATTCATCAATAGTTTTCATTTTATTTATTGAAATAAATAAAATGAAATTAGCCGATATGTAAATTTTAAGTTTTACAACACTAAACTCTTCCTTATCTTCGTCACAATACGTGAAACTGGCAAAAAGTTTTGCCCATATTAACGCAATAGAAAAAAACAGGTATACATAGTACATACATTTGTATAAATAGATTAATAAAACGAAGTTCCAGAAAATCCTGTTTTAGTTATTCTTGCGGTAGGTTATAGCTATATTATACATATGTATGTGTAAAAAAATGTACTAAAAGAATAAAATAGAGTTCAAGGCACCTTCATCGGCAGCATATGCACAATAGGAAAAAATAAACAAACTTGTTTTGCCACATATAAATTAAGTACTACTCTGCATAAAATAAATATGCATGCCGTAACGGAAAAATAATATTAAATTAACGTTTCATTGATAAGAATACAAAATAATATTATAAAGTCTCATGTTATTATTTTTTAAATATATTTAACTAGCATCTCATCCTCGCTTGGCTCGGGTTCGTCCTCAGTGGAAAACAAAACCAATTCTATCCCACGGGAACCGTACATTTTTCCGGGATAAAAAGTAGCCTATGTCGTTATTTCAGACTATAACCTATCTCTATGCCTTTCATCCAGATCCGTTCCGCCGTTCTGGCGTGATTGAGTAACAAACATCCATCCATACAAACTTTCGCATTTATAGGAAGAACATTTTTTCTAAAGGAACAAAAATATTTTTACTTCAATGTACCAGACAAAAAAAACTTAAATTCTCAGTATGTGTATTATTATAGTACATTTTATAGTATATTTTAATAAAACCCGTGTAAGTAGTAGTTTTTGTGTGAAAAGCGAACGATTAAACACTCACATATGTAGATTTTCTTTGACAGTGTAATCAAAAATTTTAATAGTAAGTATGGATAGAAAAGTTTACATAACTTTAGCTTCTGCCAATATTCCATAAAATAGTTATACCTTTCTCCAATAATATTATATAGGAAACTAGCAGCTGATTCTCGCTTCGCTCGGGCTCGTGCCTAGGTACGTTTTAACGGTTAGTAGTAGTACTCAGAAGGCTGACTTAGGTTTAGTACTTCTCTAATGGCAAAGTGGACCATGAGAACAACCCAAGCAAACCAGAACTAGTAAAGTTCTGGTCTGCCTTGTCATGCCATCCGTGGGGGTGTCGTGGACCTTGGTTGAGTGTATTGGTTCCGTTATGTTTTTGTGGCCAGTATTGATTTTCTTTTTCTAGCTTATGACTTTAGTAAATTTTGTATATTTGTTTCTGTTACGTAACTTAACATTTTGTTAAAAATGTTAACGTCAGTTGGTAAGGTTTACTCGATTTAACATTTAGTATTTAAACCAACGATCAAAAAAGTACTACGAGTAGATACACAATTCCATACAGAATATCTTTTAAAACTGTCACCAATAATTGTATTTAGGTAATTATTCTAGTTGAAATAATTTTTATTTAAAGGCGCGCTCAAATGTTTAAATGAGCCCTCATTCGGTGAGGATATATTTTGTCGCTAATTGTGCATCTAGTACTTTTTTGATCGATGATTTCAACAGAAAGAGAAAGTTTTCATACAGTATCGGGATGAATCTTTCTATGAAGATTTTTTTAATGTGCACAATAACTATATGGTCACAGTTCAACTACATTAAAAATTAACGAATGTTAGAACTTTACAATCATGAACGAATTAACCACTCGTTCATGTTTACAATATAGCAGATGACATTTAGGACGATTTATTTAAGTAAATTATGACAAAGCACGAAGTATTAAAAATACCTTATAATTAGTAGTTTCTGAAGTGTTAACCTTGTAAAACTACCAAGGCTTATGCTTTTACCAAGCACAATTAGGGCCGATCCACACTACAGTACCGGTCATAGTTCGTTCTGGGTCCGATATCGGTCAGGTAAAGTATTGTTATACAAGAAACAATGACGGCATTCACACTATCAATAAGTGTCAACTTCTGGTTAAATTTACACTCCAGTAACCTTTCTTGTATAGAAATACTTTACCGGACCGATATTGGACTAAGAACGGACTATGATCGATATTATAGAGTGAATCAACCCTTATCATCTTAGAGTTTTGACTGTCGCAAAATTTATCATAATACTAGCATTGCCCGCGGCTCCGCCCGCGTTCAGGTGACTAAAAAACAAATTCTTAGGTTTTACATACTCTTACAATGCAGTTTTTGTATTTTTTCTCAGAAATGAGATATTTTCCCGCGGTAAAAACTATCCTATATGTTGACCCGGATAACCAGCTATCATCATACCAAATTTCATCAAAATCTGTCCAATTTTCTCGTGATGCGGTAACAGACAGACAGACAAAAATTCTCAAAACTATAGATTCGGTCTCTGTATCGATAAATGTCTATTTCATATAGATTTTCCAAAAAATATTTAATGTACAGATTCGACTTGGTTACAATTTTATTATATGTATAAAATTTATTTACCCAAAAATAATACTATAATCATAGTTTTTAGTAGTATATTTTTGTTGGAATCATTACAGGATATTTTAAATATTCGTCTTTATTTAACGCTTAACTTAGATTTAATATGCCTCTCATCCCCCCCACACGCTTTTCTATGAAGTAAAATAAACCTTATTTTCAGTAATTAAGATGTATTTTAAAACCAAGATTTTTATAGCTTGTTTAAATATTGTTTATTTATAATGCCTATATGCATATATCGAGGAACGTACGAAACACTCTGTCAGGACCATGCCTTAATTAGCGGACGTCTTCAGAATGCTCCCTTTGAGGGTTTTGTGTTTTATTGTGTTGTTTAACAATAGTTTATGTGAGATATATTATTTAAATGGTAAGTTTATTTTGTGATTAAAAATGGTAATAAGTAGAAGATTTTATATTTAAAATAGTTTCGCTGAGTTTTCTTATGATTTTTTTCTTAAATCTATGTTTTTCATTTTCGAACTGGCAAAGTAAAAAATGTGTAGGATTAAATGTTTTTTTTTTTAAATTTTACATTAAACATTTATTCAGTCGAATTGTTTAAAAGAGAATGTAAACCACTTATAGCGAGCTTACTTTTAACTAAAATAATGTATAATAAAGAAAATTGGTATATATATTTTTTATAGATTAAAAATAATTAAAATGAACCTTTTGTACTTTAAATAACATTGAGCGTGGGCAAAAAAGTACGGTGGAGGTTTAATAGTTTGGAAAAAACCCGCAAACCTATAGTTGTTACATCGGCTGTACTAGCAAAGTTTAGTTTTTACTTTTCACTTTTCATTGTTTTAAATAAAAAACATAATTAAAATTGTAGCGACCATTTGCATATTTTTACTTTATGCTATTATGTTGTTCTCATATAAGTGATTTAGTCTTTTTGAGAATAAACATTCTTTAAACTTAAAATCCAAAGAACTTTGGATATACTAATAATAATGGCTGCACATACATGGGGTTAAATCGATAGGTATCAGGTCCTCGGTCCCCTTGCCACCTTTGATCGATCATCACTGTATATAGGTTTTTTTAAAATTTATATGGTATGGGATTTTTTTACAAAAAGAAGGAGGTTTTATGTTCGTCGGTATGTAATGATGTATATCAACGGCTAGACCGAGTTTGTTAGTTTACATTGTATTCTTTAAGGCTAGACCCGAGGAATTTCCATAAAATCTTCTTTGACACAGAGTATAGCGTTTTCGAGAAAATCGGAAAAGATATAAAACTTTAAAAAAACTCGACTTTAAAAAAACACTAAAAAGTAAAAAATAACTGACTGGTAGTTTTCATTTACTATAGATACCTAATCAGATATTTTCGAAGTCGGTGTGCTTTGATTTGTATCGGCTGGCTTTATTATTATTTTTAAAGTTTTTATTTTTCCCTTTTTAGTGAGACATAGTAGTAGCAAAGTAAGAAGAAAGTATTAAAAAAATATTCGCTTAAGCCGTTATCTTATAGTTTGATGACAATTATTTCATGAAGTTTGACAAACTAAAATCGCTTTTATTAGTAACACTAAAAATCCAATAAAATAAGCCCAAACTCAAAGTATCTACTATTAGCCGTTGAAGAGTTCCACCTATCCACCTTCTGGCCTTACTATCAGATCAGTTCGACGATACCGAACCAATGCACTATCAACGAAAATAGAAACACTTAAAAAATTTCAAGTCAATATAATTAGAAGTAGCTTAAATTCATCATTAGCTTATTTTTGTTTTGAAATTTAAATGGGACCAATCTGGAAGTATACACTTTCAAACAAAACATTTTTTTTAAATCGGTTAATAAATGACGGAGTTCTGAGGAAACAAACATAAACAAATAACAGCCGCATTGAGAGTCTCCTCCTTTTTGAAGAAGTCGGTTGAAAATTATTTAGATAACATTGTTGGAAGAAAGAAAACGAACCCCAAAAGATTTGTTCAATCTTAAAAATAAAGAAATTTTAGTTTTTGGTGTTATGTATTTATTAACTTTACGCCTTCGTTAAAGTTAAATTTGTATAAATTTCATATTGACAAATTTTAAATGAATTAAATCAAGCATTGGCCCTCAAATAAGTATTGGTTAGGTAGATTTAGTATGAGTGAATGAATTTTGCCGGTAAACTACCGTTCTCTTACAGGAAACTTCGGTCAATAAGAGTGCTGGAAGCCCAGCCTACCATTTTTTTTCCATTTCTCTTCCACTTTTTCTCACTCACTCTCCTCTTTTCCCTACGGAGACAGATTTTAAGGAGACTTACATTATTTTAATTAAGTATTTCCATCGTCTCCCCCAATCAAGTATGTCAGCCACACCTCCAAATGCGAAACAGCGTCCTTGCTACTTTGCACCATAAAAAGTGTTAAATATGAATTTATGAATATATTTTTCAGATACAGAATATGGGCGAATGCCGCCAAAATATTCTTTAGACGACTATAATAAATGTTTGAAAAAGCCAAGTGGAAGATACTGCACTGTTAACTTTGAACTAGTTTCGGATACACCTAACGAGCTCTTATATATGATACAGGTATATTATATCTTGTGGTTATTACAGTTCAAGAGACACTTAAAGCTGGGATGGACATTGTAAAACCTAATAATACTATCCCTAGAAGGCTTTCCCGGGGAAGAAAATAATAAGTTTTATGGTTGTAAAAAGACTTATCATATCTTACTTGCTAGACGTTATGTTGTATTCTGTAGACATGCTAATAAAACAATTCCTCGTAATAAGGAGAGTGGAATTTGAATTTTGATCCGGCTGTGAAATTAAAAACAATTATTGCTAAAAAGTCGAGACATGTGTTGTAAATTATACAATCTTCAGAATATACTATTATATGACATACCAGATGTCTGTTTGAAAGTGCAAATCTTTGGAAATATTGGTCCAATTTGAAAATTCTTTTTGCATTTAAAAGGTTAGAGGCTATCTGACATTCAATTTTAATATCTCGTTTATTATCGATCTTAGGGCAAAAACTAGGAAAGAAATAAAGAAAAGTTAAGAAAGTAGTTTCAAGAAGAAATAACTTCAATTGAAATTTCAAGTAATAAGGAGATTTATTTAAATAACAATTTTATTTTATTAGAAATTAAATATGTAACATATTTATAATAAAAACATATTTATTGTAACGTATTGTACTTAATAAAGCTGTCATAATTTTAGGAATATTCCAAAGCTTCGATAACACACTTTAATCATACAAGACTAAAATATGGAATTTGTGTATCGGAAAATTGTCAAAGATACAAAGAAAATATAACAGTGGTCTCAGAATCGGTCCTTGAGGGATGCCTAAATGATTCTCTTTGGAGCAAGTATGAACTGAAAACGAGAGTCATACATCATAAATGCTTTAGCTTGACTGATGCACAAACCGATATCACTACTGCTGATGTAATTGTAGCTGTCATTTTAGGACTCATTTTAATTCTTAATATAGTTGGAAGTATTTTTGACTATTTTAAATTAAAAATATTTGGAGGTAAGCTTATGTAAAATATTTATTTATTTATATACCAGAAAAGATAACACAAGTGAAAATATGTAGATATCATATGTACAAAGGATGACTTATCTCTTTAAGAGATTTCTACCAGAAACCCTCAAGCGTGAGAAAATATGAAAATAATAATGAGGTGCGGTGTAGGTACAAACTACAAACATCAATTATAATAAAAATATACACATATATACAAACATACATACATATTTACATAGATACTTCCATACATATTACATACACACATATATATATGTATGTATGTATGTATGTATGTATGTATGTATGTATGTATGTATATATATATATATATATATATACACATACATACATATACTTCAAGAAATATATAATAAGGAAATCAAGAATCAAATTACATATATTTAGTTACTAAAAGTTGTGTGCTTTAAGTATTTGTTCATTGGTGCTTTGTTTGTTTATATGTACCTAGATAAATCAGTACTTCTGTGTTTTTCAATAACCCGCAATTTGAAGCGACTTACATGGATACAAACTTCTGAACCTCGGCTAACGAGATTGAAAGGATTAAACGGCTTAAAGTAAGTTAAGAAAAAAATTACTTATCAACAATTTTATTTGATGAGTAAATGACAAATGGTAAATATATATCTATGTCTAGCTGTATGTGTTACTTTATTGTTATTGCTCAACCTAATTTTATAAAAAAAAGTTTAGGATGACGAAGAAAAATCTAAAAAATCTTAAAGGATCGCTGATAAGATATTGTATAAAAACTCTCTCTACCACAGTCAAAGTGTGTGTAAGTACTGCATGAATTTCTGTGTTTCATATAATTTTATTAACATGTTATCTGTTGTACGTTCAATGCAAACGAAAACGCAGTATTTTCAAGTTTATAATAGCTCTCTTGTACCATAATTATTTTATTGGTTTCATATTGGAGTTTCAATTCAATTCAATTTTCATGCATTAATGGCTTATTGAAGTCGATATTTTTTTGATATTAATATCATACAAATATCGATTTCGTATAAAATATTTATCTACTTTATTTGTGAAACCAAAAATTTAATATTAAATGTTATCTCTCTTTGGTAGCTAAATATCACGGATTGAAGCATAACCTTGGATTATACTAGGATTGTGTTAAAACATTTTTTTTTGTATTATATATATTGAACTAGTGAGTCACCCTCGTTCTGCTCAGGTTCATCCCTAGTTACGTTTTAACGTTTAGTACATATTTCTCAGAGATGAGATATTTTCCTGCAGTAAAAAGTATTCTATATGTTGACCCAGATAACCAGCTATCATCATGCTATTATTAAATTTCATCAAAATCTGTCCAGTGGGTTTCTCGTGATACGTTCCCATATATAGACAGACAAACAAACAGACAGACGGAGAGACAAAAATTCTAAAAACTATAGATTTGGCTCCTGTATCGATAATAATGATTAATTGTGATAAGAATTTCCAAAAAAAATTTAATATACAAATTCGACTCAGATTTTTTATATGTATAGATTTCTTATATGTATAGCTCTCGCATCAAAAATACCTACTAATTATTATTACTACCAAACGTCAATTAAAATTACTTAAGTTTCTTTACCGAACAGTAAACTTTGACGTTTTCTAAACATATTTAGGACATTTAAGTTCAATGAAGAAATTCTCTGCTGAGATGACTTTAATAATATGTAGATTCTTTCTTCCAGATGTATCATCCTCGCGGGCATCACGCTGACTCACTGCATCTGGCCATTTTTGACTATAGCAGAGAATATACGCGGGCTGGAATTGGTATGAATGTCTATATTTATTTCTAAAGTCAAGTTCTATTCCGATATTGTGGCTGTTCGAGAATTTGCTAATTAAATGGGGTTTTTTGTTCAGGAGCGAGAATGTATTAAAACCAAAATTTTATTTATTTTATATAATATTTGATATATTTACGAGATGATGCGTATATTTGAGATTTAAAATAAAATTAAAATGTAATAACTAAAGGACCTGTGCTCCAGCGCCAATCTGTCACTCCGTTTTGACGAGAAAGAAGGACAAACAAACAAATACACTTTCACATTTATAATATTAGTAAGAATTAGTAATGGTTATACTAACATTCATTATTGTTATACAAAAAAAGAGAAAATATTCTTTAAGCATATTCTTGTTAATTTTGTGCAGTTGACAAAAATAATTATTTCTGTCATCACCTTCAAAAACAATGTTATCAGCTGAGCAGTGGTGTGACTAACCTTTTTGGGCCCCAATGCGAAAAAAAAATGGTACCGTCGTACGGGCCGTCCTCAAAAAAATGTTTTGAAATAAAAGAATCTTTGTACCCGCTAAACCCCCTTCGAATCAGGGGCCCCATGCGACCGTAATGGTTGGCGTAGCTGCAGCTGACAGAGCTAAGAATAGCCAACTGCATGGGAGTAATTAATTTAATACACGAACTTGTACGCAGGAGAATCACTTATTGTTATTATTGTCCTTTCCACGGCACGAAGGTGCCGCTTCCAGTCTACAATTGGGAATATAATGACAGAAAAACTTAACACTTAGCTCGACCCGGGACATGAACTCATGACTTTGCAATCTGTACCTGTACATGCAAGGTTCTATACTAACGAAACATTAAAATAGTAATATCTATGTAAAACAAATCTAGATTACACTTCATCATTTTCATCATCATTATTACCATAGTAATCATATCGTAGTGATTTCATCACTTTCCAGGCATACTATGATTTGTCGCAGTATATATTATTCAATGGGGCGCTAGTGATTCAAGCATATTTGGTAATGTCGGGATTTCTTCTTTCCTACAAAATTCAAATATATGCAGAAACACAAGATCTGGAGTGGATTGTAGTGCTTAAAGGAATATTTGTCAGATATTTGCGGTATGTTTTTTATTTTTATAAAATTCTTTATCTTACTAAACTTAGTCTATAAATATCTATATTAAAAGCTTGCTCAAAGAGGCAAGCAATGAATTAATCTTTTCATAAAAGATCGAACCAACAAGCTTGTTGATATCTCCTTTTCTAACACATTGTCCTTCACATCAAACTTGATTCAGAAACTTCTGAAAGGTCTGTTATTGTAAAAAGTCTTAAACACGTTCCTCAACAGATCGAGAAACGAGAGTGGGTCACTATTACATACTTTAAATGCATATACCTAAATACGAGTAGGTTAGTTAAATATCTGACTATATTTTTCAGTATAACACCATCATGGGCGGTCCTTATAGCGCTGTGGGCGACGTGGGCGCGTTTTATAGGTCCTGGACCATTATGGGAAGTAAGTCTTTTTAAGAAAGTTTTTATGGGGCAACTACTCGACAAGTAAAGGCAGTGGTAGCCCAGTGCTAACGCGCTCGCTTGGGAAACCGAGTGAAGCGTGTTCAAATCCCGGGTCTTGCACCTCTGATATTTTCATGTGCGAATCATTTCCAACATGATTACCACTTGTCTTAACGGTGAAGAAAAACATCGTGAGGAAACCTGCATGTCTGAGAGAACCTAGCAAGTTTTCAAAAGACATGTGACGTCCGCCAACCCGCACTTGGCCAGCGTGGTGGACTATAGCCTGATTCTCCTCTGAAGGGAGGCCCAGCAGTGGGGCGTTAAAAAAAGGGCTGAATACATACTCGAGAAGATGATTTTTATTTTGTAAGTGAAGCTAACTCGTTCCGAATCAAACGGCTATCAAATTGATTTTCACGGTCAGGTAATCTATTCCATATATTAAAAGACGCCAATTCCTACTACAGTAGCATGAAAGGAAAAAGATTCATATTTACGCTCCTGAGATTCCCGTACACGCACATATTATATGTATTTGAAAAATTGTAGGGTTGCAGATGAAAAAATAAAGGTGCTCGCAACTGCGGATCCCGTTGAGATACATGTTTTCTTCGTGTACTTATTATACGTTCGTTCGTGTATTGTACATCGTGTATTATAACTTTCATAAACATTTTTGGAAAATTTGTCTCGTCTCGTATAATAAATGGACATATTTAGAAATAACTAGTTTATTTTAAAACAACTAAGTTCTGAAAATGCGCGGGTGAATTAAATGGTGTTGTATAGCCTCAAAATACGCTATGAGATTCAATTTGTATACAGCAAGAAAAAGCTTTGTTTCTTTTTCTATCAGAGCCTAAAAAAATACTTTTTTTTTGTGATGCGTTCGAGAAATTGCTATTTATTGTAACGCAGGAAACAATTAACAGTTTAATTTTATTATGTATAGACTAGCGACTCGCCCTCGTTTCGCTCGGTTTCGTCCGTAGGTTTGATTCCCCATTTAAACTTTCATCCCCATTTTCACCCCTTGAAGGAATGGTTTTCGGGATAAAAAGTCCTATGTCCTTCCTAGGGTCTTAAATTATCTTCTTACCAAATTTCATCTAAATCGGTTCAGTAGATCCAAAGATTACCCCATACAACGTCACAAACTCACAACCTTATAATCTCACAAACTTTACCTCCTTATAATATTAGTATAGATATAATGTTATCATATTTGATAGATTTGTTTATTTCTCAGGAATCGTCAGCAGGTAATGTGGCAGATTGTAGTGCACGTTGGTGGGCGAGCCTCCTTTACATCAACAACTTCGTAAAGAACTCGCTCTGTATGATGCACACTTGGTACGTCTGTATAAGTGTGTATACTCTAACTAACTACTAACTCTCTAGTACCTTTCTTGTTTAGTAGTTTTTCCAATTTGTATTTAATTTACAACACAATAAGAAAATAAATATGTCAAGACATTAACACACAACACCGTCTAGTTCCATGGTAAGCTACGAGGCTTGTGTTATGGATACCAGATAGTTGATACATTATACATATATAACTTTAAATATATACATATTATAAATATAAACACCCATGACTGGAGTACAAACATTCGTGCTCATCACACAAAGGAATGCCCCCAGCGGGACTCGAACCCGCGACCGCTGGCGCAGCAAGTAGGGTCACTACAAACTGAACCAAACGTGTCGTCTAATAAACAATACTATATTTATATGTGTGATTTGCTACAAAATCTTTAAAGTCTATAAGTGTCAGTTATGTTTATTTTTGAAAATACAAATATCCCCAATAATATACTTTCCAAATTTACCTAATGAAAAATACATAAATACAGGTATAAGATTTTGAACAGGTTTTTTAATCTAAAATTTGGCTATTCTTCTTGGAAAATGGAAGGAATCCCTTGAAATAAAAAATGGGATTCTCAATAAAAATGTAATAATAGAATTTTTTTTCGTGAATTGAGATGTAGGTAATGTGATATCATTACCTGTTCTTTGTCTGTTTACTTACTAATCGAGTTAACATTGAGAAGTCCTTACATGCCGGAGTAAAAAAGATGTGTATATACGTGGGCGGCGGCAGAATTGTTTTCAGGGGGGTGCATCTGCTTCTTCACATTAAACTATTAATAGCTGTATAAACTAATATATAAGCAGCTTTATCATTTTTTTCGCAAATATCTAATTTTCCTTCTTGGCAAGGGAGTGCGAGTGGATCTCCTTGCAACAAAAATAAAAAATAAAATCCGCGTTTTGCTACTTATGATAATATACAGTCACTAGTAATACGAGTAATTAATTATAAAAAAAATCGATTCTAATCGATTATGAACATCTTTCAGTTGAAGCATTCGATAAAATTCATCCTCTAGCTGAGGTTTTCTATTTTGTTGCAGGTACTTAGCAGCGGACATGCAGTTATATATATTCGGTTTGATCGTTTGCGTATTTTTGAAGAAGCCAGGGTACAAGCGGGTTGTACTAGTTTCCTTGCTTGTCATAGGCCTCATCATACCGGCAGTACATATTTATGTTCAGGATTTGGATGCCGTTTTACTTATTACTTTAGAGTAGGTATTTTTGTTATTATTTATTTATAGAAATGATTATTAGGGGATCAGCCATAGTCTACCACGCTGGCCAACTACGGGTTGGTCGACTTCACATGTCTTCTGAAATCTTGCTAGGTACTCTCAGACATGCAGGTTCCTTCGCGAAGTTCCTTCACCTTGAGGTTAGTGGTACGTGTTGAAAATTAACTTAAGCGTTAGTGGTGTAGTGTCTAGTATGTACGGCTGCACATCTGGAGGTCCTGGGTTCGAGTCTCGGGTCGGGTGAAGGTCAGTTATTGAGTCTTTCTGTTTAGTAAGCCTCAGTAACAGGCCGGAGTTGGGAAGTTGACGGTGTTTCACCCCCGTGCTTCAGAAAGCACGTGTCGCGTTGGTCCTGCACCTTAACTCTCATTGGTCGTGTCGAGTAGTCATCCCACCGGAGTATCAGAGTGACAGGAATAGAGAGTACACTTGTGTCTGCGCGCATATTTGTGCACTATAGTATTTGCTGCGCAGATATTATAGTGGTTTCCTAAGCAAGTGTGTTGCCGCTGGGCTACCACTGCTTCACATAAATAATACTATATATATTTTTTACAATATATATATATTTTATATAATAATATGCAATATATATCTACTATAAACATTTTTTTTATTTTTAGGCGCACAAAAGAATTATTTGTAAATGACCTAACATTTAACGAATTGAACAGGAGAAGTCATACCAACATAGCTAATTACGTAATAGGCATGGCGTTGGGTTATTTAGTGTATAGATGGCAAGATTTAGATGTTAGAAAATATAAAGTAAGTATGTATTTTTCTTTTTGGGATAAGCTATAGTTAAGAAGTGCTCTCCCCCTTGATGTGTGTTGAGCTTGTCGTGGTGGGAGGCTCATTACCGTCTGGCAATCCAGCCTGGCGTGAAGCCAAGAGACACACAGGGAATTGGCTCACTTCGGTAGGCGGTATACCGTGCGGGTTGCTGTTGGTACTTCTCTGACAGCAGAGCAACCCCTTGCCTGTGTGGTCTGCTTTGGCAGACCTGCCGTCGGGGATGTATGTATACAGGTGGTATGCGTAAATGCATACCATCCCAACATTAAAAAAAAGACAAATAGTTAAGAAGTGTACTACTTATGTAAGAGAAATATTGGTAGATAATGACTGTGAAGTGCGACGTGATTGAGGCTCTGAGCTCAAATGCCGTTATGGCTGCCAATGCTTTCTGAAAACAGAATGCATAACATTCTTTATGGAATCTAAATAAAGATTACGTTTTAAACTATAATCAGATTGTTTTGCTACGTGTCTTATCCATCTATATATAAATAGGCAAATATAAAATAGATCAGTACATTTTTCTCCTCTGTTTTTCAACCGTTTTTTTTTTAATTTTGTTTAGTAGCTATTGACGAGCTTTAGTGTTACCAATAAAAAATAATTAAAAACTGTTTGTTTTTTATAGATGTATTCTTTTCATATACTTATTATTTCATTCAAATTTTCGATACTGATTATGGTCGAATTTCGAGTTTGATCGATTGATATATACTTCTCATTGCCTTTCTCCAATATATAGCGTTAATTCAATTTAGTGGTTCTGAGGTTAAAACAAATTACTCTAATCTTTAATCGTTACTTTCAGAAATTTCGTATTCTCTACTGGTTAACACTACCTGTAGGAGCAATACTTTTGCTATCTGGCCGTATATTTTACATGGACGCACCGAGGGAAGATGTTTGGATAAGGGTGTTATACGGAACCTTCTCGAAACTAATAATAGGCTTACTTTTCGCTGTTTTGATAGGCGGTACAGTTTTAAAATATGAAGGTGAGTTACGCAATTTTTGTACTTCAAAGATATTAACTACAATATGAGTGCGTCATTATTTTAGAAAATAATATTACTCGTAAGTTATATTATTTTAAGGTTTCCGGTAGCCATAAAGCTAAATTAGAACTGTATTTCCTTCTGGGCCTATGTCACTGTAATTTTGTTCAGAGATCATTGGAGCTGTGTACAATGTATTTGGTTGAATGGTCAGTTAGTGTCTCATGATAGACGATGCTGTAGTAACATTAAAGAGAGTTTCTATGGAAAAATAATAGGGGCGCATTTATACTGAGTTTTATATCCTAAACTAGTATCCCCTCATCTATACATATAATAAAATAGTAACCAAGCCGAATCTGTACTTTAAATATTTTTTGGAAAAACTAATTGAAAAAGACATTATTATCGATACAGAGTCCGAATCTATAGTTTTTAGAATTTTTGTCTGTCTGTCTGTTACCGCATCACGAGAAAATTGGACAGATTTTGATGTAATTTGGTATGATTATAGCTGGTTATCCGGGTCAACATATACCTTTTATAGCGGGAAAATATCTCATTTCTAAAAAAAAATACAAAAACTGCAATGTTAGAGTATACTAGTATATAAAACCTAAGAATTTGGTTTTTGGTTATCTGAACGCAGGCGGACTAGACTAGACTCGCACTTGTCCATATTTGGGTTATTATTAGTTTGTTATTCAGATATTTTAAAAGGTGCTTATGAAAGCTCTAAAGCACTTTCTTTGAGTGGGCTTATCACCTTCCCTGTGGATTTAGGTTCGAAGGCACCCTAGGCCCAAGTCGATATGGCGCCCTATTACTTTCGTAACAGTATATATAGATTAATTATTTTAACAAAGAAATTCTACCCTTGAAATGGTACTATGTTTAGATTGTAAGAGCGCAAGAAAATAAACTTTAAAATTTGGTCTTACAGCTTACAGAAAAACCAATCGATAATTACTTTTCATTATCTTAAAATTTTTGGCGCTCCTCAAAATTTGCGGTCCTAGGTCCGGGTCTCAAGGGCGCCTAAATCCGCTATTGCTTCTTCCAAATATCAGAGACAAATTATTAATTGAAATTGTAGAAGAACTTACTTGAAATGGGTTTTAATTCTATCTACTTTTTTCAGGCTTTTATCGTTGGTTCTTAGAATGGCGGCTGTGGACGATCCCCGGTCGCCTTTCGTATAGTGCTTTTCTTTTACATTTCTCCTTAATAACTCTTTACACATCGATTCACACGACTTTGAAAACTATGGGACCTTACGATTTGGTTTGTACATATATGTATTGTATATAATACATAACAGCTATTTACTAAATACATATTCATACATATACGGTACTTATAAAAAAAGCACACTTTTTAAAATGTTTGTCTGCTTGTCCGTCTTGTCTGTTTGTTCTGGCTAATCTTTGAAACGGCTGGACTAATTTTGACGGGACATTCACTGGCAGATAGCTGATGTTATAAGGAGTAACTTAAGCTATTTTCTTAGAACAAGAATTTGAGTTCCGTTCAAAAAAATTAAAACGTACGTAGGACGCACCCGAGCGAAGTGAGGGTAAGTCGTATTATAAAGTACCAGTGAAATCCTTACACTTGATTCTAAAAATGATAAAACCAATATTAAATTCATTTATTACTACTTAAATTAATAGTTAATTAACTTAATATATATTAAAATAACTTAATTAAAACCAATATTTCTTTCAGTATATATTTTTCATTTGTATAATGCTCGCGACGTATGCGATATCGTTGCCGCTGTGGCTGCTAGTGGAGGCGCCTTTCACTGAACTAACCAGATATATCTACTCGTCAGAACCGAAGAAGAAGGAAATGGAAGAGAAAAATAACGAGGTGTTTATTATTAAGTTATAACAAATAAATTTAATAAAAATGTGAATTTTATTTAAGATAACTTTTAAAATAAACTTTATTCCTAAGATCTTTACATGCTGTTGAATTTTTTGATTGAAGCTATGGAAAGTATAATATTAAGTAGGTACCTATTAGTTTAATTCGTCTACGTAGAACGTATTACATTAAGACAAGATAACGTTCTACAAGCTATTAGCTATATCGATTGTAGATATTTATTTATTTATATATTATTTTAGGGAAATAAACAGTGAAGTAATCCATAAAAATAATTTTAAACTAAAAACATTCACTCACCAGCAAAGCTTCCACTTATAAATATGTCACAGGTAGAGTAAACATGATAATTATTAGTTTAAACTTTAAAAACATAAAATAAAAAAAAATACAAAAAATACTGCAAAATAAAAACACTATAAGCAGGACAAAAAAAAAGACTTAGTGAGTATTATAAAAAAAACAAATTATATAAATTTGTGTAAGGACACTGCTATGAAGAGCTGGTGTGAAACCCAGCAGTTGTACCTAGTATATCTGACGTGAGTATCAATAGTAATAAGGTATATTTGATTAACTGCCTCGGTGGTGTAGTGCCTAGCATGTACGGCTGCACACCCGGAGGTCCTGGGTTCGAGTCCCGGGTCGGGCCAAGTTTAGTTATTGAGTCTTTCTGTATAGTAAGTCTCAGTAACAGCCCGGAGTTGGGAAGTTGGCGGTGTTTCACCCCCGTGCCTCGGAGAGCACGTAAAGCCGTCGGTCCTGCGCCTTAACTCTCACCGGTCGTGTCGAGTGGTCGTCCCACCGGAGTATGAAAGTGATAGGAATAGAGAGTGCACTTGTGTCTGCGCGTACACTTGAGCACTATAATATCTCCTGCGCAGTTGGCTAATCTCAATGAGATTGGCCGCCGTAGCCGGAATCGGCTAGGAGAACATCATCATCATCATATTTGATTCCCATGGAGGGTTGACGTCAGGCAGACGGCCGGTCGTAAAACTTTTGCCAAATCCTATCAGCAGTACAGAAGACGTACTGAGCCGACCCCAAGTGATTGAGAAATGGGCAAGGAGAAGAAGAAGAAGAAGATTTGTAAAGTATTTGATTCACTCGGGTTCGTCCCTAGGTACGTTTTAACCGTTAAATTTAATAAGTTCTTTTTTACCTAGGTGGTCATTCAAGTATTACGTAAGCTGAATTTTAGTACTTATTAACCCCTCCCTCCCCCTTGTCAGCAAAAGTAAGCAAAGCTCTTACTCCCCCCTCCTATATATATATATATATAATCCTATACTAGTAGTTTACGTAAACATTGCTACATATATTTGTTAAACTGTTTTGGTTCTTTGTTCTTATTTTATAAACAGCAGTTATCATCAACTCTAGAAATAAGGTATTTATAGGCTATAGGGGAATTCAATGTACATTTATTATATTTTTATTGGAAGAATTTTTATTAATAGACGAAAATTACTAAATTTTGCAGAAAATCCAAAATATTAATTAAATAAATATTGCTGACGTAATCACCATCCAGAACCCCCGTCCCCCAAGTAACTATTTAGTTTACGAGACTTAAACAACAAACCAAACACTTGAAAATAAGTGCTAAAAAATTTCATCTCAAGCTTTGGATCGCAGAGCAAATTCTGTTTAATTTTTCATTAAAATATATTTTCATTTTACAATTTAGTGATATTTAAAAATGGAATAATACAACAAAAAGGCACGTTGCCTAACTAGAATATTTCAGAAATTAATTAAAAAATAACAATTTCACTGTAAGAATTACAAGCGACAGCTACAAAAGTATGGATACGATCAATACTATGACATCTGAACAGATTATTTTATGGAAATAAAAAGTTAATAAAAACATGAATACAAAATAAAGCAACTTCAGATATTAATTCGGACAGGATTTTTTTTTCGGTTTTGCAGTTTTTTAAATGAAAAAAAAATATATATAATGAGCATCCACCCTATAAGAACTTAAAAAAATAAAATGAAAACCGACTTCCAGGCACTAAAATGTAAAAAATCTGGCCAAGTGCGATTCGGAATCGCGCACGAAGGGTTCCGTACCATTATCTATAAAAACGGCAAAAAAAACATGTCTGTTGTATGGGAGCCCCCCTTAAATATTTGTTTTATTTTAATTTAATTATTTGTTTTTAAAGTGAATATATAACTAAATATTCTCTGAATATTTCAATCGTCTACCTGTCGTCGTTATCAATATCAAGCAAAAACGAGCAAAAATATCACGCTTGTTGTATGGGAGCCCCCTTAAATATTTATTTTATTCTATTTATTTAGTATTTGTTGTTATAGCGGCAACAGAAATACATCATCTATAAAAGTTCAACTGTCTTATCTATCACGGTTCATGAGATGCAGCCTGGTGACAGACGGACAGACAGACAGACGTACAGCGGAGACAGCGGAGTTTTAGTAATAGGGTCCCGTTTTACCCTTTGTGTTCGGAACTATAAATAACTAAACGGGGGTTTTCATTTAGAATAGATACCTAAGCAGATATTTACGAAATCGGTGCCAGCCGACAATATTTTAAAATTTGAATATCTAGTAGGTAGATAATATGATTAGGTATGAAATGTAATTATAGTTAAAATATTATACATCAATTGTGATGTATTTTACGTATCGAAATATAATAATACTAGATTTGCTTTGCATTGGCTAGTTTTTACATACAAGTTATCTTATATTCGATTAATCACTTATATCTTTTTTATTACCCGACTGCAAGGAAAGGGTTATGTTTTTCGCGCCTATCTTTGTATGTTTGTTTGTTTGTAATATTCTTTATATTCCCTCATATCTTCCAAACCACTGAATGTATTTCCATAATTAAGGTATCGTTAGATTCGTCTCATTAGTCCAAGTGTTCTTAGATAGGTGACATAAAAAAAATATCGGCGCTGCTAGATTTTATTGTTTAAGGTGATTTTTTTTAATCTTCTTGGAATATGGGTATCAAATTAAAAGGCTCATAACAAGGATTCCAAAAAGTATCCCTGTATTACTTAAAATAATGATAATTAAGACCACATTTATTTATTTTACTTCAAATGTCTAATTGGCAAAAATTTTAATAAATAAAATAAAAAAAATATATTATAAAAATAGAAAGCCCGACTGCATAAAAGCTAACTAAAAAGATGAAAACAAGTTCAAGAAGGAATATAGTATTATGCAGTCCGAGATATACATACGAGTGTAAATCTCGCGGCAAGGATGAAACGTGTATACACGACAATTGTGTCCTGTATACATACACGTTGTCAGTAGACTGTGGTCAAACCTTACGCTCTATTTACATATACACTGTTTCTATAAACAAGGTATAGCTAAAGCTTTTTCAAAAATAAGATTCCGTAGATAGGGTTGTAATATACGCAGTTGGCACTAATATAGTTTTCACATGATGCAGGCAGGCTCGTGTCTTTTTACTTTTATTGCTTTGCTTTAACTCTCTTCTTATTTGACCAGGAAGTTTAGGCAAGATTTCATGACATTACTTAGGTATATTATGCCGGGACATCATTTGGTCGGCTTGAAGCGTTTAATTTGATGGGTGATTCTTGATTACTCGCTTTTTTGTTTGTCACTACTAAGAAAAGCTTTCCACAGTTGCACCGACGGCATTTCAATAATGAGGCAAACTGGAATCGCTACTACGTAAGACGTTACCACACCTCCTATTAACAGTGAAATCTGAAAAGCGAATATCACATCAATATTATTATTCGCAAGTTTGTACGTGTGTTTGTTTGTTACTCGTTGAAGCAACTGGGTGGATTTAGATGAAAAGTACACGGATTGACTTATCTCATCGTAATGACGTATGACCAGAAGTAACACAGAGTTTTTGACTTAAGATGGCACTGATCGTTTTCCAAAAGATACTTACATTTTGTATTTTTGCTAAGAAGCCTCACAGGGCAATGTACTAGGCATGGATTGGATCAAGCTTTTTTACGACATCATAAACCACATGTGGTAAGAGACGCGCTGGACAGAAACCGGTGGAGGCAGATCATCCGCTCCTCATCCGATCCTCAGACATGAAGGACCGACCCCAGAGAGAGAGAGAGAAACCACATTTACTCAGTGCGGCAGATTATAAAGAAGTAAGAAGAGTATAGTCAGCCCTTGTGTCTAGAATTTGTGGACAATGAGAAAGCCTTTGACACTATTGAATCCTAGTCTATTTTAGAGTCTTTGCAACGGTGCCAAGTCGATTGGCGATATATTCAAGTGTTGAAATGTCTGAATAACGTCGCAACAATGACCGTCCAAGTCCAGAACCGGCAGTCAAAACCTATCTTATATATCTTCCTGCATCGAGGAGCGAGACAAGGGGACGTATTTCTCCCAAATTGTTCACAATTGCATTGGACGATATGTTTAAGACTCTGGACTGGAAAGTACGTGGAATAAACATAAATGTTGAGTACATTTCGCACTTGAGAGGAATGGGTAGCGTTCAAGAAATTTTGTCGGGTCTTGTTTTTACAATATCGCAAAGTTTAAAGACAAAGGTCTTTAACGAGTGCATCCTACCTGTTATGATATACGGAGCCGAGACGTGGACACTGACGGTGCGATTGGTCCTATAGCTTAAGGTCGCTCAGCGTTTCTCTGAAGGATCGGATCCGAAATGAAGAGATCAGAGAGAAAACCAAAGTTATCAACATAGCCCAAAGAATTAGCAATCTGAAGTAGCAGTGGGCTGGTTACATTTGTCTCAGAACCGATAACCGATGGATTAGATGAGTTGTAGAGGTCACGGTATCACGGCTCGACTAACGTAGTGTGTAGGACCCCCTCCAGCTAGGTGGAGCGACGATAAATACATAAACTGGCTAGCAGTAGTTGGATGCCTATGTCCAGCAGTGAACGAAAGCGGGCTGAATATGATTATGATGTATAGATGTGAAAGTAACTTTGTCTGTTACTTTTTCACACTTAAACTGCAGAACAGATTTCCACAAAATTTGGCAAGGACAAGGATTATATCCTGGGGATGGACATAGGCTACCTTTGATCCCTGCCCCAGTTACCTCGCGAGCGAAGCCGTGGGTAAAAACTGGTATAGTAATATAAAAGTCTGTGAAATTATAAATTTAATTCCTACCATAGAGTAACTAGAAGCGTGTCCAAGTTGAGTGTTGGTGACGACCGCGAGCCTCAGGATGATGAAGTGGATAATGAATACAGAATAGGATAAACGTCCCAACATACGGAATCCTGGCCACGAAAATGTGCTTCGTAAGATTGCTGAAATTATAATTACTTATAAAGTAAAACCGTAAAGCAAATAAGATCGGTGGTAAAAAGGATCATAATTGGCGAAGATATCGCATAACATACAAATAAAATTCTTTTCATATTTTTCCGCGGGTTTATTCCGATTGCTGTTTCCCGACATTTCATATGCTTAATGGCAATCATACTCGCGGTGAAAAGTAGAGTTTTAGACGTCCCAAATGTTAGTTGCTATTAGTATCTATTCGAAAAGTCGAAAATCAAAAATCTAAATAAATCCGCGTAAAAGTCCAAAAGGTTAGTTTTATTTAAAATGTGAAATATTTGCGTAAATCTAAGAAAGTGTCTTGTCTAACATTTTAAGTAATTCAAAAAGTACTATTATATTTATGGACATGTTACTGAATTAGAAGTACACTGTTAATGATCACACTGATGTAAATAAAAATTGGTACTCAGACATCATGTCTAGGACTAACACAGGTATGCGTAGAACTAGTTCCTTATCTCTCAATAAATACTAAATACCGATTTATTGAGAAAATCATGCTTCCGTCTATATTTTATATAGGGAATATATTTATATGATCAATACAAATAGTATTTACACAGTAGGTATTCCACAACACTCAGCACTGGTAGTGTATTACTTACATTGGCAATTGCTGATGCATCCTAAGACGAAGATGTTGAAGCAAAGCGCAACAATGAAGCGATCTAACGAACTGTATATAAATCCAACCAATAGAGGAGGCTTCTTCTCCGCAAGGAACACGACTCCAAGGAAAGTGACCATAACAGCCACACACGGGGCTAGATGAAAAAGTACGTTAAACCACTGCAAAGTAATTTTTTTTATTTATTATCTAACTACCATCCCTGTGACTTTGTATTTAGATGTGCTTTTATTTAGTTCTACACCTACTGAACACAAACTGCTTTATGTTAAAGAATGTAAAATCTAGAGCTAATGTTGTATATTTGGGTTATTGCCACAGTTTGAAAGGGAAAATTGCTATTTTTTATCTGGATCATTGAAATGAAAAGATGCTTGCATGTGTAGTATGTAAATTGCGCATGTAGGTTCCCAATAAAAAGTCTCAGTAAACAAAAGAAGAATTTATCATATTATACTCAAAATTCGAACACAAGATACCTCATGATGAGGAATGACACAGTGCCAAATACAGAGAAATATATTGGAAAGTTAAAAAAAAAGATTTATATTGTTGATACCTTTATTTCGCTCAGCCTTACTCCATGAACCTGATTATCATAACAGATGAATGCAGTAGCAATGCCCAGGAAATATCCCGAAAGATTCATCCAAACTGGGAGGTAAAGTTTCATTATGGTTTGGGAATCTTTGAACATACTAGCTACTGATCTAAAAAGAAAAAAGTTATAAATTATAATGAAATGTGATTAAAACCAAACAATAAATGCACGCTATGTTTGCTTTTCACATGAAATGTAATGGCCACAAAAACATATCATTAATAAAACAAGAGCATAGGAAAAATTATTTAATCGTAATTAGTGTTTTCTTTTAACTATTTCTCAAGGAAAATTGTGATTTGTTATTAAAAAATATACCTACTCAGGTGATTGTGAAGTTATGATGGGTGTTAAATTGTAGAAATACGCCGAAAGACCACTTGACACGATGGAACCCAAAAGGATGAGGAAAATAACTGGCTTCACAGTACGCCTCCACCTAATGAACAATAATAGCATAAACATTCCCAGGATGTGTAACTGCATGTCTGCTGCCAAATACCTAAAAACAAATTATTTTTAATACTCTTTGGATAAGAAAATAAATAAGCTTTGGCGGCTTCAAAACAAAAAAAAATATTTTTTCGGGTCAATGTTGAAAAGTTCGCTTACCAAGTGTGCCCCATGCAGAAATTTCCTAAAGGCAAGTAGTTGTGTATATAAAGCAAGCTGAGCCACCAGCGTTCGCTGCAGTCCTGGGCTTCTCGTAGTACCTGCAGCGTCCAGTGTGGGCCCGAGCCAAGTCGAGGGTACCAAGTTGTTATGAACCATAATGTGAATATTGCTACTGGAGTTATTCTGAAATATTTTTTTAGGTTATTTATCTTGCTACGATAATTTATGTTGTGATTTCCCTTTATGTATATTCATCAATGACACGGGGTTCAATTTTGCAGCAGTACCAATAGAAAGTAGTTCATGTCTTCGCCGGCTAATAAACTCTCTAAGCAAGAAATCACGTCCATCCGTTGACCCTCGCGGGGTCCAAAAAGCTACCAGCTTGGTCACAGGAGCGGGTGGGGTCAATATCCTCTAGGGAAATCTCGCGCTTTTTCGAGCAATAAAAATCACTCTTGATGTTACACTCCAAGCGCCATATTAATAAAGACAAATACGAGTCATGTTTTTTGAAGAGGTGTAAATAATTGTAAAAAATGGGTACGTTCCCTTACCATTTATTATATGTGTAAGTATACACAAGTAGAATATTCTTACCTGATATATCGATTTAAAATAGCTAGGCAGCACTTCAAGAATGTTAAAGAAGATTTCTCCGAAGACACGAGAGTCGAGTAAGCGGTGAGGAAGCCGGTGATCGAGAAGAATATTTGCAACCATAGAAGCATGTTGAATCCAGCCCTGCCACTAAACGAGTCGTACATCTAATAACAGGTACATTTATAAATATTTCTAGTGTGAAAATTTATGACTAAAAGATTCTAAGAAATTGTATCCACCTTTTTACATATTTATTAATATTTTCTTTTAAGTCTACATCAGCCTTACGTTCTAGCGAAATAATGAATGCTGTCATTATTAAATTAATATCTACAATTATTTAGACAAGGAAATTATTAATTAAATGATAATAATAATAAGTGCATTTATAAATATTCTCCTTTACTTACATGTTCCAAAAAATCAGGATTGTCGATATATGAGTGCGTATAAGTAATAGAGATGTGTGTTAGAACTACGACGACCGTACCGAAAAAGCTGTAAAATTATAAGTAATTCAAATCCATTTGCCATAATGACGTTCTTTTATTAAATGGTATTTCTTAGTACATGCACTTACTCGTAATGCTGTGGGTTCGATTCGATGACCACAAAAATAAACGTAGGATACAGCCACGTTTCTTTCTAAATTCAGTGATGTACGAGCGTTTACCTAAATTCTACAATGTCTTTTTTGTAATTATGTATTTTTAACTTCCGACGCAAAAACTACGGGGTGTTATAAGTTTGACGTGTCTGTGTGTGGCATTATAGCTCCCGAACGGGTGAACCGATTTTGATTTTGTTTTTTTTTGTTTGAAAGGTGAATTAGTCGGGAGTGTCCTTAGCTATGTTTGATGAAAATCGGTCAAAAATAGTTGGGGTTTCTTTAAATTTATAATTTATCACTTGTTATTATATAATATGGCTAGAAAGCAGTGTATTTATATATTGCTTATGGTTGATTATAATACAGTGTAATAGAGTATGTTACATACCGAATTCCTTCTAAGAAGCTGAGATCACAATATGTATTTTGATTTTCTATTTTTGGGTTGGTTCTAACGGACGATAGCTCTTGCCAGTTTCTTTTTAAGGAAAGTGCAAGTATGTATTTATTATCTGTAAAAAAAACGATACATTATACTTTGAACAGTGATGAGCTCACTTTGAACAGTGATGAGCTCACGTAATCTGAGCCTTGTGGTGTTTTCCATTTAATTCTAAGTCGTGCTTTAATTTGTACTGTGTGTTGGGCATTTTGTGCCACTTTAACTATTTGTCTTTACTTCTTTTGATATGTTATTGAAGAGTACATACCTACATATAATATACACGTAATACGGCCCCACATTATTTAACGGTTTTAATTTTGTTTTACGTAATTTTTTGTACAAATCAACAAACATTATAACTTATAAATAATTCGACTCAAATATAACATTATATATTCTTAATATAAATCTATTCAAAAATTAAAAATATATGTGAAAAATATTCGGCTTCCTATTGATATAAGAACTGTATTACTAGTACACAATAATGTAGCCAGAGACAAAGAAAACGCACGTACTTCGTTGACCGTTTATTTAACGATTGACCGTAAAAGTTAATTACACCTACAATAAAATAAACATAAATAAATCTACCTACACACATCACAACATGTACCTGCAAGCCGTCCACAACGTCGTCGCCCCAACACGTGCAGTCCAGTGGCCAACAGAGTGAGCGTCTGAATAGTAAGATTGACAACGATGAATGCTTTCGCTGACATACTGGGCTTTTCTATTTCAGGTGAACTACAAAACCGGATTGGAAGAACTTTCGCCTAAAAAATTAATATATAAGAGTAGTTATATAGTGATGATTGTCACATAAGAAATTAATTTTATTTTTGAGAAGTAAAATACTCAAAAATGGAAGACATGAGAAGAATTGTTATAGGTTTAATACTTGGTATTCTTCTTATTATTATAGGAAGATTGTAAATCTTTGATTTTTTTCAAGTAAATAAATATATTTTAAGAAAATATAGGCTCGTAATAAGCCTTAAAGAGTTTCATTAGAATCTAGTTTTTATAAAAAGGAGATATATTAGACTAATATTTTCAAGTAACAACCTCAAGTCCATAATCTGCCAAACTTTTATTGATACAGCGCTGTGCAGCATCATGCCAAGTATCTGGACCTTCGGCACCACATCTCGTCATGCAAACACCTCGATGAATAACAGTACGGTTAAAATGGCGTTGTGTGTGTGCTGAATATTCCTGCGCAGAATAATCTGTGTTAAATATATTAAAAATTGTACTTCATCAAACCTAATCTGAAATTTTATTTCAAAAGCATTTTGAAGGGAGGTGAAAAGAGCGGTTTATGTAGAAAAACGACTTGTGGGAGACTCGTAACTGTTTCTTAATAAATATTTTTTTATTTTTTTTAAAGAAATAAAGTTACAAAGGTAATATTATAGAAGTCAAAACCACCATTTTAAAGGGTTTGTCTAGAAGTTGGCGTGTGAATCTCGTAAAAACGCCTGTTAAACAAACAATTTTTAAATTACGCAGGTATTTGGCAGTTGTAAAATTTTTCGGATTGTCTATTCGTTCTTTGTAAAATATATAAATAACAAGGAAGGGCAAATAGACTAATAAATAAGTAAAATAAGTAGATCGGCTCAGCTCGGTAGGTTAAGTTTATTTTCTTTGTATACAGAAACTCCTGCACCTAAAAATATTTTTTTACCTTAAAAACTCTTGAACTTAAAAATCGTTGGGATTTAAAAGAATAAGTGGAATTACAATTGGGTATGTTATTTTTTTTCTGCATATAGAAATTCCTGCACTAGAAAATCAAGTGATTTTACATTACAAAACAAAAAAATATTTTTTATTCATCCGATTATCGGACGAATAGTAATTATAGCCTTTATCTATACTAATATATTAATAATATTATAAAGTGGTAAAGTTTGTGAGTTTGTGACGTTGAAGGGGGTAATCTCTGGATATACTGAACCGATTTAGGTGAAATTTGGTAAGAAAATAGTTTGAAACCCTGGGAAGGACATAGGATACTTTTTATCTTGGAAAGTAAAAGAAAGAAATAAAAAGTCATTTTTTAATTTTTAATTAATCATAGTCTGGCCAGGAATTTTTAGACAACCCACTCGAGATATATTTTCTAATGTATTAAATTTGATATAAAATACTTTTTATTCATTAAACATTTATTATAAATATGTGAACTGATATCTTATTATATCTATATTATTATAAAGAGGAAAGATTTTTTTGTTTGTTTGTAACGAACAAGCTCCCAAACTACTGAATTGATTTAGATGAAATATGGTAAGAAGACAGTTTTTGAGACCCTGGGAAGGACATAGTTTTTATCCCGGAAATCATTTCTTAAGGGTGTAAAAATGGGGATGAAAGTTTGTATGGGGAAGCAACCTAGAGACGAACCCGAACAAAGCGAGGGTGAATCGCTAGTTTTCTATAATCAGGGTTTAAGGAAAATTGTGAAAAAATAGCACAGAAACCTTTATGTAGTCCAAAAGCGGTGATGGTGTCGACGAGAACAGCACAGCATCCACCATACAATACACATCCTTGGGTCGCTGGCACTGAATCCATTCATCTAAGTGGTACAGCGGTGGGAAATCCGTGTAACTCGTTTCTGTGGTTAGAAATATTTTAGGTTATGCATATGTGATTTAAAAAGGAGCCCAGGAGAGTCCAGAAAAAAGAGTTTTGGAGAAGTTTGTATTTTATGTTCTAAATTTATGATTCTTTATTTTAATTGGCTGTACAGTGTACAGGTGTCTTGAGCTTGTGCATTTTAAAAAACGACTATTGTTTTTTTAAAAGTTATGGTTATTATTTTTAGGAAAATACAACACTAATTTCTTTAGAGCTTTAGATCTTGGCTAATAGGTATATTATGTGAATATGTAAATCGAAAGTACACTAGAAGTCATGAGTTGATTCTTCTACCATCCTGACTCACAACAAGTGAACTAAATGTTTGTGCACTAAAACTTTCTCAACAAAAATTCCAATATATAGTCTTACCCGGAACTCGAACCTGGGAACACCGAATCCGAAACAAGAAATAGAAAGATTTTGTAGCTACTCAATGATATAGTAAGAAAATGGTAGAATATAGAGTTTAGTAGAGAGAACGTACTGTTCTTTCCGGATTTACGGAGTGAGCGAAAAAAACTATAATAATATTATAACATTTAATCTTACTAATATTATAAATGTGAAAGTTTAGATGGATGATTGGGTGTTTGTTACTCAATCACGCCAGAACGACTGAACGGATCTGGATGAAATTTAACATAGAAATAGATTTTTTTAATAAAACTATGTTTTCGGATTATTTCGCGAAATAATCCGAAAAGATAGTTTTATTTAAAATGTCAAATATTCGCGTAAATCTAAGAAAGTATTATAGAAATAGATTATAGTCTTGAATACCATAATATAAGCTACTACTTTTTATACTGGAAAAATGTACGGTTCCCGTGGGGTAATTTGTTTTTGTTTTGCTAGAGTTAGTATACAATTTTACAAAGTAGTTAATTGAGAAACTACTACTACACACTGACACTAACACTACTGAGCCTCCCCCACCACGACAAGGTGAACGCACGTTGGGGGGTTCATAGCATTTCCCTGCGTACCTACCTATTTGGTTCTCGATGATTGTAGATGTCATGTGGCAATAACAATAACAATATTCAACCACCTATAAACTTAATAAGGACCCCAAGAATATCCGTCGGCGGCTGCCATTAAATGAACTAATTTTGCAGTTTTATAGTAACGTGAATAATTTGAGATTTTTTAGCGCTATACTTACTCTCTTAATAGGTAGGCCGCGCCCCTACAGTGGCGACCTTTAGCTTTAGAATTTGATGATGATACTTATTTTTATTTAGGATGAAATTTAAAATAGTGATGGAATAGAAACTAGAAGGGCAATGGAATTATAGAACATTAGGGCAGGCACCATTGGAGACCCCCCCCCCCAACGTGCGCTCACCTTGTCGTGGTGGGGGGGCTCAGTAGTGCCCGGCAATCCAACCGGGCGCGAAGCTAAGAAACGCACAGGGAGGTTGCCCACTTTGGTGGGCGGTGGGAGGTGGCCCTCTTCGGGGGGTGGTGTACCATGCGGGTTGCTCCTGGTACTTCTCTGATAGCAGAGTGGTCTGTGGAGCAACCCCATGGTTGTGGTGGTCTGCTTCGGCAGACCTGCCGTCGGGGCGTCGTAGTTGAATGCGTAAGCGATCCTGCGACGCCCCATTAAGACGGGGGAAGGTTTTGTTGGGTTTTAGTGGGTAGTACTGGCTGTATTACGCCGGTGAGTCCCACACGTCGTGCGTAAATGCATTTCCCAACGTTAAAAAAAAAAAGGCACCATGGGAGAGAATCGCATTAGACGTGGCAGGACCGTTTCCAACTAACTCTAGCAACCGATATATTCTGGTTGTGATGGACTATTTCAACAAATGGCCGGAAATGGAGAAGACGTAATTGAATTTCCGATCCTAGAAATCATAGAACGTAACATTTAAACTGTAAAGTGAATTATTCCCTCCACGACCACGGACACGCCGGCGTTACAGTTAACAATAGATTTCTTAAAAATTTAATTAATTAACTTAGAAATTTACCTGGAGGTGATAATAGTCTAAGCAATTTAAATTTAATTCTAAATAATAAAATAATCACAAATACAGTTTGGCAGTAAAATCTTATAATTATAAGGCAAACTTAAAAGTGTTTCAAACTACTCCTTTTTTCATGTTACCCTTGATTTATTTTGGTATATACGAGTACTTAATTCAACGACCACTTATTGGGCTGAGTGGTCGTTGACTTAAGTAAACCTCGCTAGTGGAGCCACGGGCAAAAGCAAGTCAGTTCAGCTTTTTGTAATCCTTCTCTATATAAACTTTAACTTTGCCAAAGCTCGCACTCCTCCGTACTCGTTATGCTTAAAAAAGAGAGTACAAAGTTTGCTCTTCACGCATTAGACTCAGTTTTAATTCGAATTTCGTTATTTAACTTAATTTTTTTCATTTTTTTTAAAGCTGAGAAATGCATTTATGTATACAATCTGTATACATAGAAGTGGTTATGTGAGACTCACTGGCTAGAAAAGCCAATACTACCCCCTAAAACCCCACAGAACCTCTCCCGTCTTAGTAAGGCGTCACACATCGCTTACTCAACTACGACGCCCCGATGGCAGGCCTACCTTAGCAGAATGCAACAACCATGGGGTTGCTCCCACGGTCCACTCTGCTATCAAGTACTAGGAGCAAAGCACGTTCACAGGGGGATCAGAGATGCTATGAAACAACGCTAATGTTAAGACCCCCCCCCCTCCCCTCACCATGAGATGGTGAACGCACATTAGGGGGGGTGGGGGTTTGTTTAACTTCACCTACACTATGCAGAAATGCTATCTTAAATGATTTTCAAAAAAAAAGTTATTTTTATAATAAACTTACCATTTAGATTGTATATACTTCCTAAGCTGTATCCAAACACATTAAATAAAAATAAAATATAAAAGTAAATAAACATCCTCACAGCTCCTCTAGGTCTACGGTTTGACTACACTACTGTGCTCAACAATAACCTCTTTTATTATATATATTTTTATATATATAGTCTTTAAAATTTTGCATTACATTGAATTAATTTGAAGTTATAATATGTATTTTGAAAACAAAAGAATAATTCCCAGGCTAATTCATGTGTTTATCGCGCGGTAAACTATATTATTTAAACAAAAAAAACTGCTAGTGTTAAATATTTTAGGAGGGCAAAAAATAGACTGGCTAATAATTTTAAAACTATAAAATTATTAGCAAATTTAGTCTGGTATTTTTTTTCACAGCAGCTAGTCAAACTTAAGTTAAGATATTGACGTTGGCATAAAATGAAACAAATTGGTTCTTTTTTAAGGGTTTCGCGCTGGTTCTCAATGAAATATAATTTTAACTGTCTAAATAAACTATTCACAATGGCTCAGGTAATAAAACACATAATTTTGAGGTTTTTTCCAGGAACGCTTGAAGAAAAACGACAAAAAGTGGAGAATGAAAAAAAAGAACACAAATTTTGGTGATATCTGGAAAACCAGCGGAACTTTACCTTAGTAATGATTTGAATCATATTGATGCTAC